CTGGCTGACTGCAATATCACAGGCTGATTCCCCCATATCTCTAGCAGAACTCATTCTCTTCTCCAAGAAACTTGCTGACCAGTTTTGGTCACCACGATGTAAAAAAGATGTTGAGACTCTAGAAAGAGTACAGAGAAGAGCCACAAAGAGGATCAGGGGACTGGAGGCTAAAACATATGAGGAACGGTTGCTGGACTTGGGTATGTCTAGTTTAATGAAGAGAAGGACGAGGGGGGACATGACAGCAATGTCCCAATATCTCAGGGGCTGCCCCAAAGAAGAGGGAGTCAAGCTATTCTCCAAGGCTCCTGAAGGCAGGACAAGAAGCAACGGATGGAAACTAATCAAGGAGAGAAGCAACCTAGAACTAAGGAGAAACTTCCTGACAGTTAGAACAATTAACCAGTGGAACAACCTGCCTCCAGAAGCGGTGAATGCTCCAACACTGAAAGTTTTTAAGAAGAGACTGGACAGCCATTTGGACTAGATGACCTCCAAGGACCCTTCCAACTTTATTATTATTATTATTATGGATCGTTGCACAGTCAGCCAGATGTTCCGACTGGATTTGGCATTTTGTCTACCTATCGAGTCCTTACCCAGGACCTGGGATACGCAGATGTGGATGTTTGATGGTATTACAGATCTCGTAGCAGGATGGAAGCAGTTCCTAGTAAGGCCACCTTTTGCAATTGACTAATGGCGAATTTGTCAATGCCAATGGTGTTCAAGTGCTCCAGTATTATTATTATCGATCATCGCACAGTCAGCCAGATGTTCAGACTGGATTTGGCATTTTGTCTACCTATCGAGTCCTTACCCAGGACCTGGGATAGGCAGATGTGGATGTTTGATGGTATTACAGGTATCGTCGCAGGATGGAAGCAGTTCCTAATAAGGCCGCCTTTTGCAATTGACTAATAGCAATTTGTCAATGCCAATGGTGTTCAAGTGGTGCTCCAGTTGTTTTGGGATTGCACCCAAGGAGCCTATGACTATTGGTACTACCCTTGCTTGCTTTTGCCACAGTCTTTCTATTTCTATTTGTAGGTCTTTGTATTTTGTTATCTTCTCCAGTTCTTTCTCTCTATTCTGCTATCTCCAGGCACTGCCACGTCCACTATCCAGACTTTTTTGTCTTTCTTATCGACAATTGTTAAGTCTGGGGTGTTATGTTGCAGGTGCTTGTCTGTTTGAATTCTGAAGTCCCAGAGCAGTTTAATTTTATCATTTTCTATGACTTTCTCTATTTTATGATCCCACCAGTTTTTGCTTACAGGCAAATGATATTTTTTGCAGATCTTCCAATGCACCATTGTTGCTACTTTGTCATGCCGCTGCTTGTAATCAGTTTGTGCAATCTTCTTGCAACAGCTTACCAAGTGGTCCACTGTTTCTTCAGCTTCTTTGCATAGGCGGCACTTACTGTCTGTTGCTGTCTTCTCAATTTTGACTTTGTATGCATTTGTCCTTAAGGCTTGGTCTTGTGCAGCCAGAATTAGTCCCTCGGTCTCTTTCTTCAATTTTCCTGCTCTTAGCCATTGCCAGGTTTTATTATTATCTGCTTTCCCAGCTATTTTTTTAATGTATTGGCCATGTAGTGCTTTGTCTTCCCATGCCTCTATTCTGTTCTTCATTTGGTCTTTCTTGTAGGCCAGTTTGGTCTCTCCAGTAGTTAGTAAGCCTTCCTGATATACTAATTTCAGTGCATCTTCATCATTGTTCTTCAGATATTCTTCCAAAGCCATTTTTTCTTCTTCAACCATCTGATGTACTTGTAGCATTCCACGCCCACCTATTTGCCTTGGTAGATAAAGTCTATCAATGTCACTGCGTGGATGAAGGGCGTGATTCATTGTCATTATTTTTCTGGTCTGCCTATCCATTGCTTTTAGTTCTGCTTGAGTCCAGTCCACTATTCCAGCTGTGTATCTAATGACTGGGATTGCCCAGGTGTTGATTGCCTTTATGGTATTTCCTCCATTGAGTTTGGACTTTAAGATCTTCTTCACTCTCTTGATGTATTCACCTCTAATCTTTTTCTTGACTTCAGTGTGCTTGATGTTGTCAGCTTGAAGGATACCCAAGTATTTGTAGTATTCTTCCTCATCCAGACTCTTAATGTTATTTTCGTGGGGCATCTTGATTCCTTCAGTTTTCACTATTTTTCCTTGTTTGATAGTAAGTGTGGCACATTTGTCCAAGCCAAACTCCATTACAATATCTTGGCTATATATACGGACAGTGTTGAGCAGCGATTCTATTTCAGATGATGTTTTTCCATACAGCTTCAGATCATCCATATAAAGGAGGTGGGATAGTCTAGCAGATGTTTTTGATGTTTGATAACCATGTCCTGAGTTATTCAGTATTGTTGACAGAGGAAACAGTGCAATAACAAATAGTAATGGTGATAATGAATCTCCTTGAAATATTCCTCTCTTGATATTAACCTCTCCCAGCTTCTCACCATTGATCTGCAACTGTGTCTTCCATTGTGCCATCGATCTTTGCACAAATTTTCTGATGTTTCTACTGACTCCTGTTATTTCTAGGCACTTGATTATCCAATCATGTGGCAGAGAGTCAAATGCCTTTTTGTAGTCAATCCATGCCACATTCAGGTTGGTCTTCCTTCTCTTGCAGTTTTCCAAGATCATTTTGTCTATTAGGAGTTGATCTTTTGTTCCTCTGCTATTGGGGCGGTTTCCTTTCTGCTCAGGTGGAAAGAGATTGTTTTCAACTAGATGCTGTTGTACTGCATCAGCTACCACACCAGTTAGTAATTTGAAAGTTGTTGGTAAGCAGGTAATTGGCCTGTAGTTACCTGGTGTTGCCCCTTTTGCTGGATTTTTCATTATTAGGTAGGTTTTCCCAGTTGTTAGCCACTTTTCAATTTCTCCTCCTTGTAGTATATTGTTGAACTGCTTGGCAATGAGTGGGTGTATAACAGTTAGATGTTTCAACCAAAACCCATGCAGTTCATCTTCACCTGGTGCTGACCAATTTTTGATTTTCTTTGCTCTTTTTTCTACCATTTTTGTTGTTATTACTAGTTCTTTCATTTCAACTTCTGTTTTATTTGCATCCACTTCTTTTAACCAAGCTGCATCCTTGTTGTATTTCTTTGGGTTATCCCATACCTGCTTCCAGAATTGCACTGTTTCTTCCTTGTCAGGTACTGACTGATTCCTTGCAGTTTCTCCATTGATGGATTGGTAGAAACGTTTCTGATTGGATTGAAATTGGAGGTTCTGCCTATAGTTTGCAATTCGAGCTTCATATCTACTGATTTTCCTGGCTATAGCTGTTATTTGTTGCTTTATTATTTCCAGTGCTTCCTTGATCTTCCTTGTTTCTAAGTGGTATTTCTTGATTAGGTATTCTTTGGTCTTCTTGTTCTTCAGCTTCTTTTCTTTCATCTGTTCTAGCTTGCTTGCATGTGATCTTAACTTGCTGATCTTATTTTCTAGTCTAACCTTCCATTTTTCTGGTGCACTGTTTGTTTGTTTTTCTTTTTTGTTGATTTTACATCCCAGGTATTCTGTTATAACTGCAGCTGTGCTGTACATTAGTTGGTTTGTTTCTTGCAGTGAATTGGTGCTTATACTTGCTATTGCAGTATTTGCATCTTTTAATGCTTGTGCTAGCTGTTTCTTTGGAACAAGCTTCAATGCAGGCAGCCTTATTCTGTTGTTTTTGTGCTGTTCTAGATGCTCAGTTATTCTTTGTTTCAATTCTTTTATTTCTTTAGTTAGAGGGTTTTGTTCTTCCTGAGGAAGAGGTGCCTGGTTTCCAAATGAGAACAGTTGTATATCTCTACTGGATTCTTTCACTGCCAACTCCCCCTGGTTTGCCTCTACATTCTGAATTACTTCTTGTAAGGCTTTGATTTCTTTGCCCTGGGTAAACCTTTGCAGTTCGTCTAATTCTGTTTCTGTAAATACTTTATTTCGTGTTATAAATCGGCGTTGATCTGCTAGTCTCTGTTCTGTTATTTCTGATTCTGGATGTTGTTCTTTCCAGAATTGGTGCATTCGTTTTAGATATCCTCTTCTTGTTGGACTTGATCTGTAGTAACAGATCATTATTTCTTTGTTTTCCATCACTGTGTATCTGCGACGGGTAAACACCTTTTCTTCCAGTAGTTCTGCAGCTGCTGGCCCTGGTTGCTCAGCCAACAGTCCTGAGTCCTGTAACCCATTTTTCACCAGATATCCAGGAACTCCAATATCTAGTGCGGACCTTGTTAACCCGGGCGACGTCCGAGCCGGTATGGCATTCTGAAATTTACGTCTCACCATATTTTTTATGGGAGAGACACTCTTTGTCTGACTCCTCTGATGAGACCTGTCCAGTATGGTTGAACCTCTGGCATAGCTCTCATCTTCCTCAGAGTACACAAGCCCCACAACCACGTCAAGGTAGTGCCTCACTGGGGGTTATTATTATTATTATTATTATTATTATTATTATTATTATTATTATTATTATTATTATTATTATTATTATAGAAGGACGAAGGGGGACATGATAGCAGTGTTCTAATATGTCAGGGGCTGCCCCAAGAAGAGGGAGTCAAGCTATCCTCCAAAGCACCTGAAGGCAGGACAAGAAGCAACGGATGGAAACTAAGCAAGGAGAGAAGCAACCTAGAACTAATGAGAAACTTCCGGACAGTGAGAACAATTAACCAGTGGAACAACCTGCCTCCAGAAACGGTGAATGGTCCAACACTGGAAATTTTCTTAAGAAGAAACTGGATAGCCATTTGTCCAAAATGGTATAGGGTTATCTGCCTGAGCAGGGGGTTGGACTTGATGACCTCCAAGGTCCCTTCCAACTTTATTATTATTATTATCATTATTATAATAAAATACTGGTCTACAAGAACATCGACCGAATTTGCACAATCTGTTGGCCATGCCACCCCTTCTCTCCACGTATCCCTCCCTCCGGCCCTAAGGTTTGGTCTAAATGCCCGAAGCAGCCACATCGCTGTCTCTATCCTTGGTGGGTGCCTCTATACCATAAGGGACTCCAGACCAAGCTGTGAGTGGCTGCCGTTCTCTCTGCAAAGCCACTGCTATTAATATATCAGGCAACGCATCTAATCTCTAGGTTAAAGCTATCCTCTTAGGCATGCTGGTTGATCCAGTTCTCAGTTGCTGCTCCGTGACTCCCTTTTTCTGCCCCCGTCCTTTGCCGTGTGACAACATCGGATCCCTTTGGCTGCCCTCGGTGGGCCACAAATTTGCACCCCTAGGAGAAAGGAAGGCGTCTGAAACTCCTTTCTGGAGACCACCCCCCCCCCCGAATGTTTCCTGGCTAGGATGAGACCTCAAGGCCCATAAACTGAATCAACCCCTCTCCCCAAAGCAGGTTTTTCCAAAAACCCCCCCCCATTCCCACTTCTCTGGGATTTAGTCGAGATGAACCAATCGCCTGCATATTCAGGGGCAAGGATTTCCGGCTTTAGAGCTTTGGGAACTGACAGCGGCGGTGGGTGAGTACTGTGTATCCAGAGCGTTGCTGAACCTCAGTTTTTTTTTCCCCCTAAACTTGGTTTTCCTGGCTTTTTGCAAAGGAAATGCATGTGTGTGTTTTTTTAAACAGGAAGGCTTGAGGTAGAATAGGAGACACGAAACCCCCCCCCCCCCAAAAAAGGAGATAGGTTGTAGTGCTTAGCTAAATCTGGGGTTATGTCAGATCAGGAAGTTTTGAATCTTTTGGGATCAGAATAACAGAGTTGGAAGGGACCTTGGAGGTCTTCTAGTCCAACCCCCTGCTCAGGCAGGAAACCCTGTATCATTTCAGTCTCTTCTTAAAACCTTCCAGTGTTGGAGCATTCACCGCTTCTGGAGGCAGGTTGTTCCACTGGTTAATTGTTCTCACTGTCAGGAAGTTCCTCCTTAGTTTTAGCTTGCTTCTCTCCTTGTAGTTTCCACCTGTTGCTTCTTCTCCTGCCTTCGGGTGCTTTGGAGAATAGCTTGACTCCCTCTTCTTTGGGGCAACCCCTGAGATACTGGAAGGCTGCTATCATGTCCCCCCTCGTCCTTCTCTTCATTAGACTAGACATACCCAATTCCAGCAACCGTTCCTTGTATGTTTTAGCCTCCAGTCCCCTGATCATCTTTGTTGCTCTTCTCTGCACTCTTTCTAGAGCCTCATCATCTACGGCACAATGTTGAATATAGCTGTAGTTTTGGGGTTAATAGTTAATAGTCATAGAAAGGTATTTTTAAAGGTGTAAGATATGGGCTGGGAAAAGTTATGTATGTACCGTATTTTCCAGCGTATAAGACGACTTTCTAAACCATGAAAATCTTCTGAAAAGTCAGGGGTCGTCTTATACGCCCAGTCGTCTCATACGCCGGAAAATACGGTATATATTTTTCTGGCTTCTGCATTGCATTGAAAATAAGGATTCTAAGGAATGTACAGGTGGCCCTCGAGTTATGACCGCAACTGAGCCTAAAATTTCTGTTATTCAATGAGACCGTTCTTGTGAGTTTTGCCCATTTTTATGACCTTTTAGCCACTGTTGTTAAGTGAATCTTTGTAGTTGTTAAGTGAATCATGCAATCACATGAACCCGGGATGCTTCAAGCACTGAAAATACATGCCAGTTGCCAAGCACATGAATGTTGATCACAGTACTACGGAGGTGCTGTGATGGTCATAAGTGTGAGGACTGCTTAAAAGTCACTTTTTTTCTGCCATTGTATCTCGAAACGGTCGTTAAACAAATGGTGGTAAGAAATGAAATTCAGTGGTGAAAAAAGTAAGGTTCTACGTTTAGGCAAGAAAAACCAAATGTACAGCTATAGTATAGGGCAGTGTTTCTCAACCTTGACAATTTTAAGGCATGTGGACTTCAACTCCCAGAATTCCACAGCCAGCATTGCTGGCTGTGGAATTCTGGGAGTTGAAGTCCACATGCCTTAAAATTGTCAAGGTTGAGAAACACTGGTATAGGGGGTACCTTGCTCAATAGTAGCCACTATGAGAGGGATCTCGGAGTCCTAGTGGACAATCCCTTAAACATGAGCCAACCGTGTGCTGCAGCTGCCAAAAAAGTCAATTCAGTCTTCAATTGCATAAACAAGAGAGATGGAATCAGGATCAGGTGAAGTCTTAATACCACTTTATAACGTCTTGGTAAGGCCATACTTGAAATACTGCATCCAGTTTTGGTCACCATGATGTAAAAAAGATGTTGAGTCTGGAAAGAGTACAGAGAAGAGCAACAAAGACGATTGGAGGCTAAAACATATAAGGAACGGTTGCTGGAATTGGGTAAGTCTAGTTTAATGAAGAGAAGGATGAGGGAGGACATGATAGCAGCCTTCCAATATCTCAGGTCCTTAACTTACAAAATTAATTGTTCTAACTGTCAGGATGTGTTTTTTCTGGATGTGTTTTTGCTGAACTGGTCCTTTCCGTTCTGCAACCTTACCCTGTGAACCGAAACTTGGCATCCAAATCTCTAAGCCAACTCAAGGCTGCTGTAAACAAATATATCCTTAAGATACTCTCTGACACACCCGACGTTTGCTTGCTACTCTTCTCCAACCTCGTGCCCTCCACCTGGGCTTACAGATTTCACAAATTTCAAGGTTTTCCTTGGAACTGAGTCCCAACCGAACTGGGGAAAAGTCTGAGGGTTAAAAAAAAATCTGTTATTCCTTTTTCTGTGTGTACACATACACGTCTTTTTCTATTCTGCTGTTGCACACTTGTATCCAGGCCCATATTTTATGTAGGAGTGAAGGTGCTGGCTTAGAAACCCGAAGACGGTGAGTTCTAGTCCCACTTTAGGCATGAAAGCTGGTTGGTGACTTTGGGCCAATCACCGGGAGGTGGTGAATTTTAGACCCGCCTTTGGCATGACAGTTGGGTGGATGACTTTGGGCCAATCACCAGGTGACTGTGAGTTCTAGTCCCTCTTTCAGCATGCAAGCCTGCTGGGTGACTTGGGGCCAGTCACCAGGAGATGGTGAATTCTAGTGCACCGTAGACATGTGAGCTCCCTAGGTGATTTTGGGCCAATCACCAGGAGACAGTAAGTTCTAGTCCTGCCTTAGGCATAAAAGCTATATGGGAAACTTTGAGTTGATCACAAGGAGACAGTGAGTTCTAGTCCTGCTTTAGGTGTGAAAGCCAGCTGGGTGTCTTTGGGCCAATCACCAGGAGACGGTGAGTTCTAGTCCTGCCTTAGGCATGAAAGCCAGCTGGGTGACTTTGAGTCAATCACCAGGAGATGATGAGTTCTAGTCCTGCCTTAGGTATGAAAGCTGACCTGGATGACTTTGGACCAGTCACCAGGAGACGGTGAGTTCTAGTCCTGCCTTAGGCATGAAAGCTATATGGGAGACTTTGAGTTGATCACCAGAAGATGGTGAGTTCTAGTCCCGCTTTAGGTGTGAAAGCCAGCTGGGTAACTTTGGGCCAATCACCAGGAGATGGTGAGTTCTAGTCCTGCCTTAGATATGAAAGCCAGCTGGGTGACTTTGAGTCAATCACCAGGAGATGATGAGTTCTAGTCCTGCCTTAGGCATGAAAGCTATATGGGAGACTTTGGTTGATCACCAGGCGATGGTGAATTCCAATCCTGCCTTAGGCTTGAAAGCCAGCTGGGTAACGTTGGGCCAGTCTCCCTCTCTTTGTCCACCCTACCTCACAGGATTGTTGTCGTAAGGAAAAGAGGAAGAAGAAGTATTACGTATGTTTGCTGCCTTGAGTTCCTTACAAAGTAATAAAAGCGAGCTAAAAAAAACCCTAATAAATAAAATAATAAATTATAGACGAATGGAAAAATCAGAGCTATATTCCTGGAAAAAAAAAATAGCCACAAGAGCAGCGTGCATAAATTACCTGTAGGTATTGGTCTAGACCAGAAGTCTCAAAGTCCCCTTTGCAAACTCAGTTGTGTTGAAAATCCAAGCCAGCGCCTGGTGTGCATAAATAAGCAACAAATGTTCTGGGCACTGATTTGTCCGTGGCATCGTTTGCTCCTGTTGACGTCACTCTGGGAATAAAAGCCGGTTTTGTTTACCGCTCACGGAACAACTTAAAGCATTTGGGGCTTGGCGTTTGCTCTCCAATTCTTGCTGGGGGACTTTGCTGGTTGCTAAATACTTTGCCGATGAAAAGAAAATAATAATTGGATTGCTTTTTTTCCCCCAGAAGAGATTCCGGTCTGTGTTGGGAACGGCCAGGTTTTCCCAGGTTTCCCCCCCCCTTCCCTTCCCAGTTTTCCACTTTGTGTTTGGTTTGTTGAATTTTAGAACTTTTAAAAGTGTGTGATTGCAATTTGGCCTGTTGTGTCATGCACTGAAGATTCAAATGCAAACTGATTTTTTTTCCCCTCATATGTCCCTAATATACAATAAGATGTAGTTCAATGGTGAGAAATGTAAGTTCCTGCATTTAGACAGGAAAAACCAAATGCACAGGTATAGTATAGGGCAGTGGTGGCGAACCTATGGCACGGGTGCCAGAGGCGGCACTCAGAGCCCTCTCTGTGGGCACGCACGCTGTTGCCCCAGCGCCACCACTCCCCGTAGCCCCCTCCTCACCAGCAGCCCCCCTGGAGGAAAGTCGCCCCGGGCTCAGCCTGGGCAGAGCAGCACAGTCAAGGACATGGCAGCCAGGCAGCGGGGACAAGACTCCATTCTTGCGCCCCATCGTGTACAGATGATGCTGCAGGGTGCGGACAGAGGGTGTGGCCACCAAGACGCTTCTGGGATGCCTGGGCGATCTGCTGTGACAGGCCGTGGAGGTGGTGGGTGGTCCTGCGGGCAGGAGAGGCAGGGTGGGGCAGAGGCGAGGCAGTTTTGGGGCACTTGGTCTCTAAAAGGTTCACCATCACTGGTATAGGGGGTACCTGGCTCAATAGTAGAAACTGTGAGAGGATCTTGGAGTCCTAGTGGGCAATCACTTAGATATGAGCCAGCCGTGTGCTGCAGCTGCCAAAAAAGCCAACACAGTGCTAGGCTGCATTCACAGAGGGATAGAATCAAGATCACGTAAAGTATTAATACCACCTTATAACATCTTGGTAAGGCCACACTTGGAATATGGAACCCAGTTTTGGTCACCATGATGTACAAAAGACGTTGAGACTCTAGAAAGAGTGCAGAGAAGAGCAACAAAGATGATTAGGGGACTGGAGGCTAAAACATACAAGGAACGGTTGCTGGAATTGGGTATGTCTAGTTTAATGAAGAGAAGGACGAGGGGGGACATGATAGCAGTGTTCCAATATCTCAGGGTCTGCCCCAAAGAAGAGGGAGTCAAGCTATTTTCCAAGGCGCCTGAAGGCAGGACAAGAAGCAACGGATGGAAACTAATCAAGGAGAGAAGCAACCCAGAACTAAGGAGAAATTTCTTTACAATGAGAACAATTAACCAGTGGAACGACCTGCCTCCAGAAGCGGTGAATGCTCCAACACTGGAAGGTTTTAAGAAGAGACTGAAATGATACAGGGTTTCCTGCCTGAGCAGGGGGTTGGACTAGAAGACCTTCAAGGTCCCTTCCAACTCTGTTATTCTGATCCCAAAAGATTCAAAACTTCCTGATCTCCAACACTGGATGTTCCAACACTGGAAGTTTTTAAGAAGAGACTGGATGGCCATTTGTCCGAAATGGTATAGGATTTCCTGCCTGAGCAGGGGGTTGGACTAGATGACCTCCAAGGTCCCTTCCAACTTTATTATTATGGATCATCGCACAGTCAGCCAGATGTTCAGACTGGATTTGGCATTTTGTCTACCTATCGAGTCCTTACCCAGGACCTGGGATAGGCAGATGTGGATGTTTGATGGTATTACAGATATCGTCGTAGGATGGAAGCAGTTCCTAGTAAGGCCGCCTTTTGCAATTGACTAATAGCGAATTTGTCAATGCCGATGATGGTGTTCAAGTGGTGCTCCAGTTGTTTTGGGATTGCACCCAAGGAGCCTATGACTATTGGTACTACCCTTGCTTGCTTTTGCCATAGTCTCTCTATTTCTATTTGTAGGTCTTTGTATTTTGTTGTTATTGTTGTTGTTGTTGTTATTATTATTATTATTATTATTATTATTATTACTATTAGGAATACAGGTAGTCCTCAATTTACAACATTTGTAGGTGCTCCATCACTGGGGTTTTTTTAAGAAGAGACTGGATAGCCAGTTGTCCAGAATGGTTTACAGTCTCCAGTTTAAGGAGGGGGTTGGACTAGAAGACCTCCAAGGAACCTTCCAGCTCTGTTATTCCGAATTCTGAGGTACACAGAAAGAAGAGGCTCTGAGGCAGGAAGCATTGCAGGCAAGACTTTTGGGTTCAAATTTCCAGAGTGACCTTGTTTTGCTCTCTTATCCTGCCAGCTGGCCAAAACCCAGCCTGTAGTCAGCCTTAATCTCATCTTAGTTGGGTGGAGGTTTCCGTTTTATTTTGGCTCCATCTGGAATCTACAGATAAGAACGAACTGGCTTAAAAACAACCCAGCAAAAACCATTTCCCTCCGTTCTCCCTTTAATAACTCAATTGCAAGCAGACCTTTAAAACAGAAATAAAGATAACATTATATTTATAAAAAGAAAAAAGAAAGGCTCAACCAGTGCAAATTCTATGTTAAGAGGTTGCTATTAAGAAATCCCTCGGGAGTGGCTAATTATAAAAAGGAAAAATTGACTCCTTTTTTTTTTTTTAAGACAGTCATCTTTTAAAACCTACTCTTTTTTTCCCCCTTTCATGTCTAGTTGATTTCTAGAATTAGAGGCGCGTTTAGAGTCTGAAATCCTGAAAGGATACAGTTGGCTTATCAACGGAAAATGGAAATGTTTTACCTGGAAACCGAATTGGGGTTTTTTTTGCCAGTGTTTGGGGTTTGGGGGGGGGGCAGTTTAAGGCGAAAAATTGCCCATTTGGAAGAACGGGTTCGGACGTATGACTGTGTGATGCGCTTCACAATCTTATGACTTTCAGAAAAATGGTGGCAAAATTGGGTCCAGTCAGATGGGTGCCTCGACTTAACGACGGTCACCATGTCAAGAGTGAAAACCTGGCAGCTAGGGGTCTTATTGTTTTCATCTTGTCATTAGAATGGGGGGGGAGATGAGGCTGCAGTTCTGCAGACATTTGTTGAGGAAAAAGATCTATGGCAGTGGTGGCGAACCTGTGGTTCTCAACCTGTGGGTCGGGACTCCATTTGGGGTCGAACGACCATTTCATGGGGGTCGCCAAACAACGCAGTCCGCCATTTTTTCCCCCTTTTCCTTAGCTGTGCTACTCCCTTTTACTCTATTGGCTTTTGAAAGCCAATAGAATAGACTCTCTTGAATAGAGTCTAATTCTATTGGCTTTCAAAAGCCAATAGGAATTGTCCAGGCTGTCTCTGCCCTGCTGAGCCCGCCAAAAGTCCCATTCTGCAAACGGTGCTGCACCAGTGGAGTAGTCCTCGACTTACGACCGGTCGAGTAGTCCTCGACTTACGACCGGTTGGGGGTCGCGGCATTAAAAAGGTTGAGAACCACTGTTTTAGAGACCGAGTGCCCAAACTGCAACCCAAAACCCACTTATGTATCGCTGGGTGCCAGGTGGGTGTGGCCCGCTGGGTGGGCGTGGCTGTGGTAGTCATGGCAGACTGGGTGGGTGTGGCCAGGGTGGGCGTGGTCACCTTAATATTGCTCGTGGGGAGGGACACCTGTGGGGGCCGGGCAGGGTTGGGGGAGATCCAGGGGGTCTCTGGCAGGTGGGGCGGTGGGCAGGAGGATCGTCCTGCGGGGTGAGGCGAGGCAAAGTGAGGCAGGGTGGGGGTGCCATTGTCGCAGGGCAAGGCAAGAGGGGCCAGGGCTGCTGCTGCCTGACACCATCAGCCCCCCACACACAGAGGCCAGCGAACACATGGGAGCCGACAGTGTCCGTCAGCAGCCACAGCCTGCCAGCCCCTCGACTCTCTGGGGCTCCACAGCACGCCACCAGCAGTTCAGAGAAGCCGTTTCTGAGCTGGATGGACCATCTGACAGCTGAGGAGGCGATGCAGTGGCTCGTGTCCAGGAAAAGGAGAGCAAGCGAGGGCAGGAAGGATGGGACGGGGCAGGAGGGAAACCAACCGTGCTGGGATGTATCCGGCCACATGGGACCTCGGCGAGTTAGCGGGTGGCTGGTTGAAGAAGGACGGTTGCCATCTCTGGGGCATGGCACGCGTGCCCACAGAGAGGGCTCTGAGTGCCGCCTTCGGCACGCATTTTTTTTAAATTTATTTTTATTTTTAAAATTTATAAGCCGCCCCACTCCCGAAGGACTCTGGGTGGCTAACAATAAAAAACACATAAAACATAACAAAACAACAGTACAAAGACAATCATCCAGGGGTCGGGTTTTATAAACCCCAGACCTGCCGGAAAAGCCAGGTCTTAAGTAGCTTATGGAAGACCAACAGGGTTGGAGCGGTCCTAATCTCCGGGGGGAGCTGGTTCCAAAGCGTGGGCGCCATCACAGAGAAGGCCCTCCTCCGCGGCCCCGCCAAATGGCACCGCTTGGCCGACGGGGCCTGAAGGAGGCCCAGCCTGTGGGATCTAACCGGATGTAGGGAACTATGAGGTAGTAGGCGGTCTCGCAAATAGCCTGGCCCTGAGCCATATAGGGCTTTAAAGGTAATGACCATAGGTTTGCCACCACTGATCTATGGAAACTTTTCAAGGACATTCTAATCGCTGTGAAGAAGATAGCAGATGGTTCTCAAAACAGGAGGGTGTTTACATGAACTACGTGGACATCTGGGAGATTTGAGACGGGTTTGAGACCAAAGAGTCCTTATTGGCTTTGATTCTTTGCCTGAAAGCAAAGTTTTTGACCTTTGAGGGCAGGACAAGAAGCAATGGATGGAAACTAATCAAGGAGAGAAGCAACCTAGAACTGAGGAGAAATTTCCTGACCGTGAGGACGATTAACCAGTGGAACTACCTGCCTCCAGAAGTGGTGAATGCTCCAACACTGGAAGTGTTTTTTTTTTATTTTTTAGAAGAGATGGGACAGCTATTTGTCTGGAATGGTACTATAGGATTTCCTGCTTGAGTAGGGGGTTGGACTAGAAGACCTCCAAGGTCCCTCCCAACTGGATTATTCTGCCTGGGGGTGATCAGGAACTGATCTCTCTCTCTCTCTCTCCTCCCTTGTAGCAACAACAGTGTCGACACCTTGGACCGGCTGCTGCCCACAATTATCGGAACCAAGTCCCCCCGGAAGCGAACCACCAGCCAGTCTAAATCGGAGCCCCCCCTTCTGCGTACCAGTAAAAGGACCATCTACACTGCGGGCCGACCGCCCTGGTACAACGAACATGGCACCCAGTCAAAAGAAGCCTTTGTTATCGGTACGGGGTGCCGCATTGGATTGGAGGGGGGCAGTTTGGGACAGGAGGCACTTAGGCCCCGATCCCTATGACTAAAGCAGAGACGGGCAACGATGACAAGCTTGCAACCTGTGGGACTTCAACTCCCAGAATTCCTGAGCCGGCATGGCTGGCTCAGGAATTCTGGGAACTGAAGTCCACAGATCATAAAGTCACCATAGTTTCCCACCCCTGAGTTAAAGCAAAGGGCCAGCCAAGAAATTCAAGGCAAGCTTTACAGGTTGGAAGTCTGCCTTTTTAGTGGGGTTGATCTGAGCCTACCTTGCAAGACTGTGGTCAACATTCTGCCTTGGGCTTCGCTCCCTCTCCAGGTCTGGGTGGGGGCAGCGCTTCCGGGAAAACCACGGTGGCCAGGATGATCATCGAGGCATTGGACGTGCCGTGGGTGGTGTTACTCTCCATGGACTCCTTTTATAAGGTGAGAAGAGCTACAGAGGTGCTCCGGAGTTGGAAAATCCAGGCAGGCAGAATGAGAGGGCTAGCAGTGAGAGTCCTCCCCTTTGACAATTCAGTTGTGGGTAATGAGGGAATATAGGAATGGAATGGAATGGAATAGAATAGAATAGAATAGAATAGAATAGAATAGAATAGAATAGAATAGAATAGACAGATTGTAGAATAGGATAGGATAGAATAGAATAGAATAGATTGTAGAATAGAATAGATTGTAGAATAGAATGGAATGGAATGAGAATAGAAGATGGAATAGAATAGGATGGAATAAGAATAGAATATAGAATAGAATGGAATAAGAATAGAATATCATTTTGTGGGTGACAGGTTCTGACGAAAGAGCAGCAAGAACTGGCGGCCAGCAACGATTTCAACTTTGACCATCCGGATGCTTTCGATTTTGACCTGATGATTGCCACTGTCAAAAAACTCAAGCAAGGGAAAAGTGTGAAGATCCCCGTTTATGACTTCACCAGCCACAGCCGCAAGAAGGAATGGGTGAGCCCGGCTTCTGAGGGGGTCTTGATGTCTTAGCTCCGCCCCCTTTTTAGGGTGACATGTCTCCGTTGCCTGAGGTAGCTCTCGGGCTCAGCTTTCTCCCTCAATTACAAGTTATTTTAATTTCTTGTTTTTTGATTATTGCGATTCGCCCAGAGGGGTTGGCAGTTGACAATTTTCTATCTATCTATCTATCTATCTATCTATCTATCTATCTATCTATCTATCTATCTATCTATCTATCTATCTATCTATCATCTAGTTCCTTCATCATTTTCACAAACACCTCAAGGCGGCATACTTATCAAACGCATCTTCTTTCTCCTGTTTTCCCCACAACAACCCTGTGAGGTGGGCTGGGCTGAGTGAGGGAGAAATTGGCCCAAAATCACCCAACTGGCTTTCATGCTTAGGGCAGGACTAGAACTCACCGTCTCCTGGTGATTGACTAAAGTCACCCAGCCGGCTTTCATGCTTAAGGTGGGACTAGAACTCACCGTCTCCTGGTGATTGGCCCAAAGTCACCCAGCTGGCATTTGTGCCTAAAGCGGGACTAGAACTCGCAGTCACCACTAGACAAAACTGGCTGTCTTATTTATGTAAGAAATTGTATATGGCCGGCCAACTCACTCTCTGTGACACAGGGCGACTTACAAGGATAAAAGCTGAATATAGGGACCATAGAAAAGCAATGACACACTCACACCCCAGCAACAACAATCAAATACGCCACTTGATGGACTCCATCCCACTCTGGGATCCCCCCAGGCCTGTTGTCAAAACTATGTCTTCAAGGCCTTGCAAAAGTGTTTCAGTGGGGGGGGGAGGCAATCTTATTTCCACAGGGAGGGAGGGAGCCACCACAAAGAAGGCCCTTCTTCTTGGTCTTCTTGCTAGATGGACCTCCTTAGGAGTGGGGACCCTTTCATAGGACCAAGAAGGGGTCATATCTGTGGTGGCTTTCCATAAAACATACTCTGGGAACTAATAGGGAGGAGTTGTCTTCAGCCTCTTTCTCTCACACAAACTATCTGGACTGAGTTGTCTCTTGCTCCTCTGGAATTCAACCCCTCCCTCCTAGGAATCCAGACTACATTCCATCACAGCTGGTGACCCAGCACAATGAAATAACTTTAAAGCAGGGGTAGGCAACCTTGACTCTTTTATGACTCATGGACTTCAACTCCCAGAATTCCTGAGCCAGCATGGCTCAGCTTGGAAACCTCTCCCCTTTTCCTCAGCGCGGCTGGCTCAGGAATTCTGGGAGTTGAATTCCACGAGTTATAAAAGAGCCAAGGTTGCCTACCCCTGCTTTAAACCTTTCCGCTAATCTCTGAATAAACCAGTCTTGTGTTTTGATTTCTTATATCCAAGTCAGGTTTACTTATAAAGTAATAAAGGCCGGATAAAAAACAAAAAAAAATCAATCAAACAAACCAATAAGTGTTTTAATCAAACTTTGACAGTCTCCATGCACCATTCTTGCTTCCAGAAAATGCTTTACGGAGCCAACGTGATTATATTTGAAGGTATTATGGCGTTTGCCGATAAGGAGCTCCTGAAGGTAAGTCCGGGTTTTCAGCCTTCTTTTTCTGGGGGGAGAGGGGGGGGTGTTAGGATGGGAGGGGGTAGTACCGTGTTTCCCCGAAAGTAAGGCCTACCCCAAAAATAAGCCTAGCTTGATTTTGGGGGTTGGGCCTAATATAAGCCCTATCCCCAAAATAAGCTCTAGTTTTGGGGTGAGGCACACACCTAAAAATCAAGCTAGGGCTGGGGTGTGGGGGTGTAGAGCTGATCCACGCACCCCACACCCACCTTTTCCTTGCAGCCAGGCCTTTCCTCGCAGGCCCACTTCTTCTGTGGCGTCTCCTGCAGCCAGGCCTGCATTTCTCAATCTCTCCCTCCCTCCCTCCCTCCCTCCCTCTCTCTCTCTCTCTCTCTCTCTCTCTCTCTCTCTCTCCTTCCTTCCTTCCTTCCTTCCTTCCTTCCTTCCTTCCTTCCTTCCTCTCTCTCTCCCTGCCTCCCTCTCTTTTTCTTTCTTTCTTTCCTCACTTTCCACCCTCCTTCCTTCCTCTCTCTCCCTCCCCCCCTCTTTTTCTTCCCTCCCTCCCTCCCTCTCCCTCCCTCTTTCTTTCTTTCTTTCTTTCTTTCTTTCTTTCTTTCTTTCTTTCTTTCTTTCTTTCTTTCTTTCCTTCCTTCCTTCCTTCCTTCCTTCCTTCCCTTGCTTCCTCCTTTCTTCCTCTCTCCCTCCCTCCCTCTCTCTTTTTCTTTCTTTCCTTCCTTCCCTCCCTCCCTTCCTTCCTCCCTCTCCCTCCCTCCCTCCCTCCCTCCTCCCTCCCTCCCTCTCTTTTTCTTTCTTTCTTTCTTTCTTTCTTTCTTTCTTTCTTTCTTTCTTTCTTTCTTTCTTTCTTTCTTTCTTTCTTTCTCCCCTTCCCCTTCCCCTTCCCCTTCCCCTTCCCCTTCCCCTTCCTCCTTGCAAGGTTCTAACGATCAATATTTTTTTGGATTTAAATTTCCCTCTCCCTTTTAGCCACTCTAGACAGGTCCTCTAGCATTCCCCCCTTCCTGTTTTACCCAATAACAACAGCCTTGTGAGGTTGGTCCATCTGAGGGGGGGACTAGCCCAATGTGACTGCCCTGGAAGTTCTTTTGCAGAGGGGAGGGGAACACCCACTTCTAGTCCAACCCTCTTTCCCCCAGACCCTCTGGCATTTCCTAAAGCAATGTTTTTCAACCTTGGGTGAACGCTCAAGCTTCCTCCTTCCGTTATATATTCAAGATGGACAATATTTAATATGTATTTGCTACGTATATGTAGGGATGTGGGTCTATACATATGTTGTTCATAGTATGTTTAAGTGTGTGTCAAGTATGTGTTTCATTTTGAGAGCGGGCAACTAAATTTCATTTTTGATGGGTGCCATTGTGCCCACAGTATAAAAATGACAATAAAGGCTATCTTATCTTTAACATGCACGGACTTCAACTCCCAGAATTCCCTAGCCAACTGTGAATTCTGGGAGTTGAAGTCCACGCATGTTAAAGTTGCCAAGGTTGAAAGACACTGCTCTAGAGCAGGGGTGTCAAACTGCCAGCCCACGGGCCGCCTGGGTCACCATGAAACGGCGCCCACCCCATTGCCAGTAATGGGGGGAAAGCTCCAATAAGTTGCGCGACGTCACGTCACGTCGCGCGTTTGACATGTCTGCTCTGGAGGGATCTCTTTTGGACCCAAATGCCACTTGACTCCCCTCATTTGTCCTCTCCAGCTTCTGGATATGAAAATATTTGTGGACACTGACTCGGACATCCGTCTGGTTCGGCGTTTACGAAGGGACATCAGTGAACGAGGCCGAGAGATTGAAGGGGTCATCAAGCAGTATAACAAGTTTGTCAAGCCAGCCTTTGACCAATACATCCAGCCCACCATGCGAGTAGCCGATATTGTGGTCCCACGAGGTAGGGCTGGCTGGATTCCTGATCTGGGGGTCCCTTTGCTAGATCTCTTGCTCAGATTGCCCTGATTTTTCTCACGCTGAAAGTGTTTGGGATCCATTTGCAGCCAACTAGCAAAAAAAAAAAAAAAATGTTCGAAAGGATTTGGTCTGGGACATTATCATAATAATAATAGTAGTAGTAAAGTTGGAAGGGACCTTGGAGGTCATCTAGTCCAACCCCGTGCTCAGGCAGGAAACCCTACACCATTTCGGACAAATGGCTGTCCAGTCTCTTCTTAAAAACTTCCAGTGTTGGAGCATTTACTGCTTCTGGAGGCAGGCTGTTCCACTGATTAATTGTTCTCACTGTCAGGAAGTTTCTCCTTAGTTCTAGGTTGCTTCTCTCCTTGATTAGTTTCCACCCGTTGCTTCTTGTCCTGCCTTCAGGTGCTTTGGAAAATAGCTTAATTCCCTCTTCTTTATGGCAGCCCCTGAGATATTGGAATACTGCTATCATGTCCCCCCTTGTCCTTCTCTTCGTTAAACTAGACATACCCAATTCTAGCAACCGTTCCTTATATATTTTAGCCTCCAGTCCCCTAATCATTTTTGTTGCTCTTCTCTGTACTCTTTCTAGAGTCTCAACATCTTTTTTACATCGTGGTGACCAAAACTGGATGCAATATTCCAGGTGTGGCCTTACCAAGGCATTGAAGAGTGGTATTAATACTTCACATGATCTTGATTCTATCCCTCTGTTAATGCAGCCTAGCACTGTGTTGGCCTTTTTGGCAATTGCAGCACACTGCTGGCTCATATTTAGGTGATTGTTTACTAGGACTCCGAGGTCCCTCTCACAGTTACTACTATTGAGCATGGTGCCACCTATGCTGTACATTAAGGTAGAGTGCCACTGAATCTGAAGGTTCTATTGCCTACGTTGCGCTGACAGCTGCCAACAGATCACTCCAGTCTGCCCTGCAATTTTTCAGATTAGCCGCGCCAAAATTTCAGGGATGTAATTTTTTTATATATTTTTTTATTTCTATATTAAATCAAATTATATTAAAACAATGCTTGGAAGGGCTTCCCCATCCATTTTGTTCCTTTGCTTCCAATAGAGGAGAATTTTTACTTCCTAAGGTTTGCATTCGTATGTTTACAAAAAACACATTTAGGATGTTTTTGCTAAAAACCGCTATTGACTTCCCATTTTGGGCAAAAATTAGCCCTTGGTGAAAAATGGGTTCGTTTAATGACGGTGGCGGTCGCTAGACGATCAACACTTTTGCTTAACAACCGCTTTGTAAAAAAAAAGTTGTAAAAGTTCATCAGGGTGCCTCATTTCACGGCCATCGTGACTGACGGCTGTTACGGACAGGCTCCATTATGAACGTTAAGTCAAAGAATAACTGAACAGGTAGTCCTTGACTTACGACCACAGCTGAGCCACAAATTTCCACGGCTAAGCAAGTTTTAACAACCTCCCTTGCGTCCGTTGCTAAGTAAATCGCTGCAGTTGTTGAGTTAGTAAGACGGTTGTTAAGTGAATCTGGCTTCCCCATTGACTTTGCTTGTCAAACGGTTGTAAAAAAGGGTCACGTGAGCTGGGGACACTGCAAACCGTCATAAATACGAGTTAGTTGCCAAGCACCTGAATTTGGATCACGTGACCGGGAGGGGGGGGAGAGATGCTGCAATACTTGTGTGAAAAATGGTCATAAGTCGCTTTTTTCAGTGCCGTTGTAACTTCGAACGGTCACTAAGCAAACTGTTATATGTCGAGAACTATCTGTAATTTGGGGCTTGTTCAATCGGACGTCGGTTTGAGAAAGTTGCAGCTCTTAAATTTCGACTCTGCCGTTTGCATGGGATCTGTAGGCTGCTTGCGCCCTCTAGGGGATTTCCCAGGTCATTACAGGAAGTAAACTGACCTTCACTTCTCTGGTCGTTTTCTTGCGCAGATGTTTCATTACCCAACTCGGTAGTGTCATCAGGGCAAGGAGAGAGTGGGGTTTGGTCTCAACCAAGAGCCCCGAGGACCCCTCATTTCAATCCTGAGCTACCAATATTGGCCTTAATCAGTGACATTTACTCTTTCTCTCTCTCCGTTCCTTTCAGGTAGTGGAAATACCGTCGCTATTGACTTGATCGTCCAGCATGTGCACAGCCAGCTGGAAGAGGTGAGACCTTATGAGTGTTCAGGGTAGCCCCTGCATTGGGGGATATCGGGTTTTCTTCTTTGCCTCAAGGCCACCTTTTGGGGTCAGCCACATTGTAGCCATCTTCAGTCCCCTTCTGCAATGGAAGGAGGGGGGGAGGGGGAAGATAGAGAGCAGGAATGCCGGAACAGCTACTTGTTGCAGGACTGGGGCGGAGAAATTACGACAACGGCCTTGGGGGTGGGAGAGGATAATGGCCCTGGGAAGGAGGGGGACTGGGCACAGGGACGGATTGACAGCCGCCCTCTAAGTGCTTGCACACACTCTAAAAGAGCACTTGAGGATCGTAAAACAACCAGTGGAGTCAAAGACAGTTTGCCTGATGCGGAACAACTCTGTGCGATACGATTAACACAATCAACGGGCCGATGACGCGCTCAAGGAGCCGGGCGCAGAGGCAGGAGGCTATATGAGCTGCCTTCCCGATCTCCTGCTATTCTAACTCTGATGACGCCGGCAGTTTTTTGGCCGGACGAAAGTTTAGCAAAACAAAATTTGGGATCAAAGTCTTTAGCTTATCCAGGGCTCCCCAGATTGCTTGAGCGAACCTGTGTCTGATCTTCTGCAGATAGTCCTTGACTTACAATCATTCATTTAGTTACGAGGGCATTGAAAACATTGACTTAGGACCGTTTTTCACATTTACAACCCTTGTAGCATACATCGAAAACGTTTCAGAAGCTGTAGCACGCAGCTTCCAAGATCTGCAAGTAGGCATCGCACGCTGCCCAGAGGCTACCATATGAGAACAAATTATGCACTGTAAAGGTTGCTTGGAGGTGGGAGACACTTCCAATGGAATCTACCGGATCCCCTGCGTGGATTCCCCTCTGACTGTGTGGGACAAATAGGGAGGAAGCTAAACACCAGACTGCAAGAACGCAAGCGAGCGATCAGGCTAGGAGACCCGAATTCATTGGTAACCTCATATTGCAATGAACAAGGACACACATTCAATTTTGCAGTTACTAACATTGCTGGACGAGCAGGCACAAAAACAGCCAGGGAAATGATTGAAGCCTGGGAAACGGGCCCCTCCTCACTCAGCAGGAGTGCTGATGTACCGCCTCAGCTTATTAAGTACTTATGGAGGTGAGGGCTGAGCAGTACAAGTAAACAACAGCTAATGACTTAAAAGCCAGCCATCAACACACCTCAGTCAACATCTAAACAGGCACTATAAATACCACACACAGAATAGCTCAAAGTACACACTTTGCTAGAGAGAAGTTCCCTGACAGTGGTTAGGTTGTGCCTTATTTTACGACTTTTCTTGCCGCAGTTGTTAAGGGAAACACTGGAGATGTTAAGTTAGGAACACAGGTTGTTAAGTGAATCGGGCTTCCCCATCGATTTGGCTTGTCTGGAGGTCGCAAAAGGGGATCACATGACCCTGGGAGGGGACACTGCAACGGTCATAAATACGAGTCAGTTGCCAAGGGTCCAGATTTTGATCACGTGACCACAGGGATGCTGCAATGGTCGTAAATGTGAAAAATGGTCATGCGCTGACTTTTTTTCAGTACAGTTGTATGTTCAAACGGTCACTAAAAAGGTTGTGTGGGACCACCTGTATACCTTACAACCGTTCATGGGGGTTGGACTAGATGACCTCCAAGGTCCCTTCCAACATTATTAATAATAATAATAATAATAATAATTTATTAATAATAGGTTATTATTATCAACAATTAATAATTAACAATTATTATTATTAATATTTTTAATTATTGTTATTGCTGTTGTTATTATTATTATTATATGACTGTTCAAAGTTCAACGGCACTGAAAAAAGTGACTTGTGACCCTATTTCACACTTAACGACCGTGGTCACATCATCAATCAAAATTCAGACACTTGGCAACTGACTCATATTTATGACGGTCGCTGTGCCCCCCAGGAATCCCCTTTTTGCCACCTTCCGACCGGCAAAGTCAATGCCAGATTCACTTAACAGTCACGTCGCTAACTGAACAACTGCAGTGTTTCAGTTAACAACTGCAGCAAGAAAAGTTGTAAAGTGAGGCAAAACCCAACTTAAATTTCTCACATAGCGACATAAATTCTGGGCTCAATGTGGTCGTAAGCTTAATGTGGTTGTTGCTTAAGTTGCATTCCTCTCCAGGGGTCACTTTCAGACTAACAGCATGGGTTTGTCTGGCATGGGGTGTGTGTGTTTGTGTGGTGGGGAACTGGGGTATGTTGCCTCCCACCCGGTGTCTTATCCAGGTTTGCGCAGCAGGTAACTTAGCCAGGCTGGTCAGCCCCATCCGTGGGATCTCTTTGGCCCTCATTTGAGACCTGGTGCAACCAGCTTCCATAAGGCCCTCGAAAAGCCTTTGAGAGCTGCCAGGATTACTTTGGGTCAATCAGCAAGAGGAAGTGAGTTCTAATCCCACCTTAGGCGTGATAGCCAGCTGGGTGACTTTTGGCCACTCACCAGGAGATGGTTTAGTCTGGTGTTAAGGCACTAGGCTAGAAAGCAGGAGACAGTGAGTTCTAGTCCCACTTTAGGCATGAAAGCTGGCTGGGTGTCTTTGGGCCAGTCACCAGGAGCCTGTGAATTCTAGTTTTGCCTTAGCTGCGAAAGCCAGCTGAGTGATTTTGGGCCAATCACCAGGAGACAGTGAGTTCTAGTCCCGCCTTAGGCATGATACCTGGCTGAGTGACTTCAGGCCAATCACCAGGAGATGGTGAGTTCTAGTTCACCTTAAGATGTGGGCTGCCAGGATTACTTTGGGCCAATCAGCAGGAGGAGGTGAGTTCTAATCCCACCTTAGGCATGATAGCCAGCTGGGTGACTTTTGGCCATTCACCAGGAGACGGTGAGTTCTAGTCCCGCTGTAGGCATGAAAGCTGGCTAGGTGACTTTGTCCCAATCGTCAGGGGTCTGTGAGTTCTAGTCCCACCTTAGGCGTGAAAGCTGACTGGGTGACTTTGAGCCAGTCACCAGGAGACGGTGAGTTCTAGTTTTTGTTATGTGCAAAATAGATGGAGGATAGTATGTTGGATATGCTCACCATCTTGAGTTATTTGTAAAAATAAATAATAAAGCCAGGATACAAACAAACCAATAAATAAATGGGAGGCATTCAAAATCACCAGTGAATAAAATAATTGCATTATTTTGCAAAACTGAGGCTGGGAATCCTTTAAGAAAAAAGACTATTCCTGGTTTATTTTGATTGTTTTTTTTTATTTTATTAATTTGCTTCCCGGCTTCCTGTTTCCCTGCTGGTGTTTTAATAATAACTGATTTCACTGTCTTTGTTGTGTTGTTCCTGCAGCGTGAACTCAGCGTCAGGTAAGGATGAGTGCCTGTTTCCTCCCTTCTGCTTTAGCCCCGAGGCATTTGAAGCACGACAGAGGCAAGATTAATTTCCTCCTGGGGGCTAAACTCCAGCAAACCGTAAAAAAAAAAAAAAAAGAAATATTTCTCTGACGTTTCTGAAAATAAAAATGTCCTCAAAGCGTGGATCCATGTGGGCCTTTTTAATTTAAAAACAAAACCCCAAGCTTTTTGGTTAAGTTTCAAATTTGGCATTTTTTGTCTTTGCCTTGTCTTAGGCCAGGGGTAGGCCACCTTGGCTCTTTTATGACTCATGGACTTCAACTCCCAGAATTCCTGAGCCAGCCATGCTGAGGTAAAAGGGAGAGGTTTCCAAGCTGAGTCATGCTGGCTCAGGAATTCTGGGAGTTGAAGTCCACGAGTCATGAGGGGGCCATAGTTCCCCCATGCTGGCTCAGGAATTCTGGGAGTTGAAGTCCACGAGTCATGAGGGGGCCATAGTTCCCCCATGCTGGCTCAGGAATTCTGGGAGTTGAAGTCCACGAATCATAAAAGAGCCAAGGTTGCCTACCCCTGTCTTAGGGGGGGGGGAAGTTAAGCAAAAAGAATGGGGTTTTTTCCAGTTTAGTTTTAAATTTTAAATTTTAGGGGTTGTCAGGGGCCTTCTGGGATGCCAACCTCCAGTTGGATTAAACAAAATGGAAGCTAACATTTTGAGGCTGAATTTGTAATCCCATATGACAACCCGCTTTGCAAAATGCGGGAAGATCCTTCCAGGAGATGAAAAGTAGCTTTAATAAGCAGGCTAAAAATTGCAGTAAAAAATTGCACTTTTTCCTTTCTCATAATTTGCTCCTTACAGGTAGTCCTCGACTTATAACCACAATTGAGACTGCAATTTCTAGTGCTAAGCTTGTTGTTGTTGTTAGTTGCGAAGTCGTGTCTGACCCATCGCGACCCCATGGACCATGTTCCTCCAGGCCTTCCTGTCCTCTACCATCTTCTGGAGTCCATTGAAACTCACGCCTGCTGCTTCAGTGACTCCATCCAGCCACCTCATTCTCTGTCGTCCCCTTCTTCTATTGCCCTCCATCTTTCCCAGCATTAGGCCCTTCTCCAGTGAGTCCTTCTCATCAGGTGGCCAAAGTACTTGAGTTTCAACTTCAGGATCTGCCCTTCTAAAGAGCAGTCGGGGTTGATCTCCTCTAGGAATGACCAGTTGGATCACCTTGCAGTCCAGGGGACTCGCAGGAGTCTTCTCCAGCACCAGAGTTCAAAGGCCTCCATTCTTTGGCGCTCGGCCTTTCTTATGGTCCAACTTTCACAACCATTCATTGCAACTGGGAAAACCATGGCCTTGACTATACGTACTTTTGTTGGCAGGGTGATGTCTCTGCTTTTTAGTATGCTGTCTAGATTTGCCATAGCTTTCCTCCCCAGGAGCAAGCATCTTTTAATTTCTTGGCTGCAGTCCCCATCTGTGGTGATTTTGGAGCCCAGGAAGATAAAATCTATCACAATCTCCAATGGAGGTAGTGCTAAGCTAGGTGTGGTAAATTGAGCCACACTGTTTTACAGCTTTTTTTTTCTGCATGGTTGTTAAGCGAATCACTGCAGTTGATAAGTGAATCCTGTGGTCTCTGGCTTTCTCCATTGACTTTGCTTCTCTGAAGCTGGCTGGGAAGGTCGTAAATGGCCATCACAGAACCCTGGGACAGTGCAACAATTGTCAATACATGCCAGTTGCCAAGTGCCTGAATTTTTTATTGTGTGTAAAAGTCACTTTTTTCAGTGCTGTTGTAACTTCAGACGGTCACTAAATGAACAGTTGTAAGTCGAGGACTACCTGTAGTTAATCACAGGAGTTGTACCCTGCTCCTCTTGGCTGCCCCCTCCTCCCCAAACCAAGCAGAACCTGGATAGGAGACCACCAGGAAAACCTGTCAGCATAGGCTAGGCTGGGAGATTGAGGACCAGTCTGTAAAACAGGCATTGGCATGTGTTTTGCATTGATGTCCTGAAGCGTTGTGTCATAAAATCATCAGGAGGTGAGCTAAACATGAAAGAGAGCCCTCTTTGATCTTATTTCATCCTGTGAGGCCTTTGATCTTTTAATTACGAAGGAAAAGAACTCTGTGATCCTGGGTGACAGCTGAGATTTGACAAAAAAAAGATTTCATCTCCAGAGATTTCATCTCTGATTCCTGTAGCCCATTCTACTCAGTATTATAATGAGGGGAGAAGAAAAAGAGAGAGAGAGAGAGAGAGAGAGAGAGAGAGAGAGAGAGAGAGAGAGAGAGAGAGATGGGGGAAGGAAGGAAGGAAGAAAAAAAAGAAAGGAGAGGGGGGAAGGAAGGAAAGATAAAGAGAGGGAGGGAAGGAAGAGAAAGGGGAAAAAGGAAGGGAGAGGGAAAGAGAAAGAAAGCAAAGGAAAGGAAAGGAAAGGAAGAAAGAAAGAGAAAGGAAAGAGAGAAAGAGAGGGAAGGAGGGGAAAGGAAGGAAGGAAAGATAAAGAGAGGGAGGGAAGGAAGGGAAGGGAAAAAAGAAAGGGGGAGGGAGAGGGAAAGAGAAAGGAAAGGAAAGGAAGGAAGAAAGAAAGAAAAAGAAAGGGAGGGAGGGAAGGGAAGGAGGGAAAAGGGGAAGGAAGGGGGAGGGAGGGAGAGGGAAAGAAAAAAAGCAAAGGAAGGAAGGAAGAAAGATAGAAAGGAAGGAAGGAAGGAAAGAGAAAAAGAAAAGAAAGAAAAAGAAAGGGAGGGAGGGATGGAAGGGAAGGAAGGAAAAGGGGCAAAAGGAAGGGGGAAGGAGGGAGAGGAGAAGAAAGCGAAGGAAGGTAGAAAGAAAGGAAGGACGGAAAGAAAGAAAGAAAAGGAAAAGAGGGAAAAAAGAAAGGGGGAGGGAGGGAGAGGGGAAGAAAGAAAGCGAAGGAAGGAAAGAAAGAAAAGAGGGAGGGAGGGAGGAAAAAAGAAAGGGTAAGAAAGGACAAAAAAGAAGGAAGGAAGAGAGAGTGAAGGAGGAAGGAAAACGTGTTCTCGAAATAGATTTTCTCCTGTCTCTTACCTTAGGACAGTGGTGGCGAACCTATGGCACGCGTGCCCAAGGCGGCACGCGGAGTCCTCTCTGTGGGCACGCGCCATCGCCCCAGCACATGTAGTCTCTAAAAGTTCGCCATCACTGGCCTAAGGCCAGCCAGACTGGAGCCGCCATTGGGGAGCCCACCATCCTACCCTCCAGAGACCCCCTGGATCTCCCCCAACCCTGCCCGGCTCCCACAGGTGTCCCTCCCCATAAGCAACATCGAGGTGGCCACACCCACCCCACCCACACCCACCCAGTCTGCCGTGACTACTGCAGCCACACCCAATCCAGTGGCCACGCCCACCCAGTCTGCCACGCCCACTGTAGCTGTGCCCGCCAAGTAGGCCACACCCACCCGGCGATACATAAGTGGGTTTTGGGTTGCATTTTGGGCACTCAGTCTCTAAAAGGTTCGCCATCGCTGCCCTAGGACCTTGAACTGTTCGAAATATTGTGTTTGTTCATGATTCTATCTGCTGTATTTCTATGGTGGTCGATTTTAATGTTTTTTTTTTTAAAAAAAAATACTTTCATGTTTTTACGTTGTAAGCCACCCAGAGCCGTTGGATATGAGCTGGGCGGCAAAATAAATTTCATAAATAAATTTCACAATAAATAAATACATTTCATAATTAATAAACAAACACATCTCACCATTAACCAACAAGCAAAGAAATCATAACCCCGGTTCGAAAGACGGGAGGGGGGGGGGAATCTCCCAAGCAGCCTCCCTCTTTGCTTGAAATGCCTCAGGTGATGCCGTTTTTCCTGTCTCCTTTGCTTTGTTTTTTCTGTTCTTCTCTTCCTCTCCTCTCTTCCTGCTATCAGCGTCTGGGGGCCTTTCTTTGCTCGCACTTTCAATTCAGGCTTTGTTCTCGTGAAGGGAAGCTGGGGAGGAAGGACCGAACCACCGTTTTTTTCAAACGGGAGGCTTCTGAAACATACAAGCGGAAAGGAGTGGGAAAAAAAAAAACCCCACACAAACCGATGACCAGAATTTTCCACCCACCGATTAGAGACAGCAAAGGTGTTGATGGTGGGCGAGAGGCAGCCTTGAGGAGCTGGGCGGAGATGTAGGGGCAAAAAAGACCTGCTACGTTTCTTGAGGATATGTCTGCAACTCACATTTTGTGGGTCATGAAAAATAATCGCCCAGTGACCTCCCAAAACAATGTTTGGAGGTAGTCCTCAACTTACAATCATTCGTTTAGTGACTATTTATATAAAGGATGCTGTGCTTCAGTGGTTAGATGGCCTGGGCATTTATATTTGAACATATAGACTCCATAGACCAGTGGTGGCGAACCTATGGCACGGGTGCCAGAGGCGGCACTCAGAGCCCTCTCTGTGGGCATGCGCGCCGTTGCCCCAGTCCTAGGCCTTCAGCTGGATTTTATAAAACGTTTTTGCTTTAGGCCTCCACCGCCGTTGCAAAAAAAAAAAGGTTCAATCAGTCAATTTCAACTTCTCGCAGGAAAAAAAAAGATCTTGCAAAGTTGAAATTGATTGAATTTTTAGTCCTACCCAGTCTGCCGTTACCACTGCAGCCACGCCCACCCAATGGGTTACGCCCACCCAATGGGCCATGCCCACCCAGCACTCGACAATGCATAAGTGGGTTTTGGGTTGCAGTTTGGGCAGTCTCTAAAAGGTTTGCCATCACTGCCATAGACTATAGAATAGAATAGAATAGAATAGAATAGAATAGAATAGAATAGAATAGAATAGAATAGAATAGAATAGAATAGAATAGAATAGAATACTGTATAGACTATAGAATAGAATAGGAATAGAATAGAATAGAATAGAATAGAATAGAATAGAATAGAATAGAATAGAATAGAAAATAGAATAGAATAGAATAGAATACTGTATAGACTATAGAATAGAATAGAATAGAATACTGTATAAAATAGAATATATTAGACTATAGAATAGAATATAGTATAGAATAGAATAGAATATAGACTATAGAATAGAATAGAATAAAAACTTTATTGTTACTTTAAATGTACACTAATCAGCATACATTAAAATGAAATTTCACTGCATTCAGCTCTCAAAAAATGCCATTTTACATAAATCCACATAGACACACACATATATGACACAAAGAAGCATCACAATCTAGTTCGAATATATATATATATATACCTGGCAAAAAAAAGGATCCGGCGAATTTACAAGACGGATGGCATAAAGAAACAAAGCTGTTGCAGAATCTAGTAGTCCTGCTATAAATATTTCGAAACCTCCTCCCAGAGGGAGCAACAAAAGCAGACCGTGAAGGGTGTGGGGTCTCTAAACAATGCTTATTGAGTTTATTGGTTTCTCCTAATCTAGTTGAATGTTAATATATATATTAACATTATATATTTGCTATAACCCAATATATTTATTGGGTTCTCCTAATCTAGTTGAATGTTAATATACATTGCTAGTCCAGGTATGATATGCCGTACGTTAAATAATAATGATGACTATTTGAAGTTACAACAGCATTAGAAAAAGTGAGTTATGACCATGTTTTACACTTAATGTCCACTGCAGCATCCCCATGGTCATGTGATCAAAATACATTCGTTTAACGACCACACGATTCACTGAACAACTTAACACTTCAGTTAACAATCGCAGCAATTCGGCTAACTGTGGTAAAACGCTTTGTGCAAATGAGGCACAACTCAGGCACGACTCACCAAACTGCCTCACTTAGCAGTGGAAATTTTGGACTCACCTGTGGTCGTAAGCTGAGGGCTACCTGCATTTGATATTAAAGTTCCTTAGGATAGAAAATTCTATCAAAAGGATCTTCTCCTCTCAGTCACCGATATTTTTTTGAATGGGAAACTCAGTGGTGGAATTCCCAAACGGGCTTTTTTTTTCATGAGGCAACGGGACTTCCTTTCTTTTTCCCTTGAAGACCTTTCACTTCTCAACCCAGAGGCTTCTTCAGTTCTGGGCTTCAGTTCAGTTCTTGAGAACTGGAGAAGCTTCTTGGAGGAGCAGCGAAACCTCTTCAGGGAAAAACAAAGAAAGTCCAGTTGCCTTTTCAAAAAAAAGCAACTTTGGGACCCCCGTGACCCTAGATCAGGGCTTTTCAGCCAGTGATACGGGTACCACCTGTGGTCCATTGGCACCTGGCAGGTGGTACGCGACCATCCTAGAAAAGTAGTGGGCGAGGGGAATGAGCTGAACCGGTGGCGGCACCGCATAAGCCTGAGCGAGAGATGGCTGGAGCTGCAGGGCTGTCAGGGCTCAGCGGAAGCGCCAGGATCAGCGCCAGGCTCCAGCTAGAGCTCTGCGCTGATCCTGGTGCTTCTGCTGAGCCCAGAAGAAGCGCCAATCAGCTGGAAAGCAGCACTGATCCTGGTGCGTCTGCTGAGCCCAGAAGAAGCGCCGATCAGCTGGAATGTTGCAGCCTCTCCAGGGTTTTGTGATTTACATTCAGATGCTTGGCAACTGATTCATATCTATGACGGTCACAGTGTCCCAGGGTCATGTGAAGTGACCAAAACCGGCTGCAACCACCCAGCAGATGGGGGGGAATAAAAACCAAACATTTCCCCACCCCACCCCTCTGCCAATCCTCAACAGAAATGCTCACAACAATGAAAACCTCAGACAGGAGGAAGAGTGCCGCCAGGTGGGCAGGCAGGTGTCTTGCTCGGCTGTGGCTTGGGGGGCACTTTTTTCAGTGCCATTGTAACTTCGAACAGTCACTAAGCGAACTGTTGTAAGTCGAGGACTACTTGTACTTCATCACTTTTTTCCTTTTGGGGGGGGGGTCATCAAGTTTTTGACCCCTTGCTAGGCGACTGGTGGTACTCGGATGTTGCCATATCCTAAAAGTGGTACAATGGGTGAAAAGGTTGAAAAGCCCTGCCCTAGATGACTGAGAATTCCATAGACATTTGGTGGTGGAACCCTCCCTTCCATGTCCTGTCTGGCTTTCATGCCAGACATTTGAACCCTGAAGATCTCAGCAGGACTTCGATGGTGTAGACGGTGGCCTGGGTTCAACCTTCAGATGTCTACCTGCCTCGGAAGCCAATTATTGTAGAGTGTTCTCATTTAACTTCCTTTTCTTTTGATCTCTCTCTCTCTCTCTCTCTCCCCCCCCCTCTCCCCCTAAACCCCAATTCTCTGGGATGGGGCCTGTTCTGTCGGTTTTCCTATCTGGTTTCGTCCCAAATGTCTCAACCCACCTGATGAATAGAGGAAACTACGCTGGGATATGTGAGGAACCAATTGGCATCCTGGTTTGATTTGAATACTAAATTGTGTGAGCTTCTTCTGCTGGTGCTCAAAGATGCATGGGAAGGACTCCATGGCGGGGGTCAGCTTGCCCTTCCTCTTAACCTAGCTGGCGTGGTTTAGGGTTGGCTTCTGTGGCAAACACGGGGTTCTGCCTCTGTGGTCCTCTTCCCTCACCAAAGTAGACCTGCCAATGATGGCGAACATTAGGAGATCATCTGGAGTAGGTTTCCGAGGAGCGGACCCAACCGCTGGACTCAACTTGATTTAAGTAACTTCTGGAGACCATCAACATGATGAGGTGATTCCATGGACATGGAGTCAACATGATGAGGTGATTCCATGGACTCAGAAGGTCCATTAAAAGGGCTGGGAAGGAGAAGAAGCTCAAGTCGCTGCTTCCATTACAGACAGCCTCCATCTTAGGTGGCCTTAAACACAGGTCTGATATTCATGGCTGCATTTGAGATACTTTAAGATGGTAGAGTTCAGTAGAAGACAATGGAGGCTGTCTACCAGCCTTGTTTTTAAGGGAGTGGACAGAGAGCGTGTAACATGTAGCTTGGCCCTGTTCTGTCTCTTGAAAACAAAGCACGACAGGCTTTTGGTGAGGTGGAAACTCGAGATGGGTTCCACCTTGAGGTGGAAAAGAGCCATATTAAGTAATTTGGTGGGTTAGTTGAGTGTTTTTCAGCTTTAAGATGTATGCACTTCAACTCCCAGAATTCCTCAGCCAGCAAACATTATCTACACTACAAAACAGTGTTGGGAACTTTAAGATGTGTGCATTTTGACTCCCAGAATTCCCATGAGGGAATTTTAAACAGGTGATGCCAAAGTAACCCAAATGCGGATCTGATTCACCTTGTTACCCGTTGACGCTGTCAAGAGGATTTTACAAATTTATTTGGATTCCTGATGGTTGGAATACCTTGCTGTCTGTCTGTCTGTCTGTCTGTCTGTCTGTCTGTCTGTCTGTCTGTCTGTCTCCCTGCCTGTTGCTTTAAAACCAGCCTGGCCACGTTTTGCAGCTTTTGAACAGCACCCGCTTTGGTTTGTGTGGACATTGTTTAAAAAAACCAGCATCCTTTTGCAAAATTCTGGGATTGAGGGCGGGAAAGGAATCCGCGGGTCTCCTTGGGCCTAGCCCAACCAACCACACAGAATTGGCAGGAGGGTGGATGCATTTCATTGTCCTGGTTCGGTTCCCAATAACATTCTTTGAGACAGGATAGGGTGGCAGCCTCCAGGATTGGGGCGGGGCAGAATAAGGCCCTTCTTGAATAAGTTCTTTTTTCAAACTTCTGGCCAATCTCTTCCTCCATTGCTCCTGTTGTCTCCCTTCCCTGTATAATTATTATTGGCAGTTCTAAACTGTTGAATGGTCTGGATTTTCATCGCTATCATTCTCATAAAAAAAAAACCTTGTGCCCACGGAATTGTCACCTGCTGGAGAGCTGAATCTTGCTTTTTTCAAAATTTGGGGTCCTTGGTGCTCTCTGAGCTTGGTGGTTTTCTTGCAGACGTTTCATGACCCAACTAGGTAACATCATCAGTGCATTGAAGATGTTACCTTGTTGGGTCATGAAACATCTGCAAGAAAACCGCCAAGCACAGAGACCACCAAGGAGTTCATAGTCGTCATCCTCCTCCTCCTCCTATTATTACTACTACTACTTCTACTTCCTCCCCACATCCCACTGTCCCTTCTAGCACTGATGATGTTACCTAGTTTGAGTCATGAAATGTCTTCAAGAAAACCATCAAGCTCAGAGAGCACCAAGAATCCCACAGTCGTCATCGTCCTCCTCCTCCTCCTCCTCCTCCTCTCTGCCCCTTGCACTCCTTTCTAGCACCAATGACGTTACCTAGTTGGGTCATGAAATGTCTTCAAGAAAACCACCAAGCTCAGAGAGTACCAACGACCCAACAGTCCCCCCCTCCTCCTCTTCCTCCTCCTCCTCTTCCTCCTCCACCTCCTCCTCTTCCTTCTCCTCCTCCTCCTCCTCCTTCTCCTCCCCCCCACATCCCACTGTCCCTTCTAGCACTGATGATGTTACCTAGTTTGGGTCATGAAATGTCTTCAAGAAAACCACCAAGCTCAGAGAGCACCAAGGACCCCACAGTCCTCCTCCTCTCTGCCCCTTGCACTCCTTTCTAGCACTGATGACGTTACCTAGTTAGGTCATGAAATGTCTTCAAGAAAACCGCCCGGCTCAGAGAGCACCAAGGACCCCACCGTTCAATCCCGAGCTACACATTCTCTTTTCAAAATGTACGACGTGGCACAGCGTCGAATACCGAATCCTTAACCCGGGTGGTGTTGCGAGACCTTAACCTGTGCTTCTTAACTCAAAAGAGGAGCTGAGGCTTTCCCTTCTTTGGATGACCCAAGGAAGGTGGCCAGGAGAAGCCTGTGTGGTTAGTTCGGCTGGGGAAAAGGAGACCCCGGGGAGATCTTTCTTCCAGCTGACCCGTACTTCTCCTTCGCCTGCAGGGCAGCGCTGGCTTCTGCTCACCAGTGCCACCCTCTCCCCAAGACCCTCAGTGTCCTGAAGAACACACCCCAGGTCAGGGGGATGCACACCATCATCCGGTGAGTATTCAGTCTCCCAGTGATAATAATAATAATAGTACAGTTGGAAGGGACCTTGGAGGTCATCTAGTCCAACCTGCTGCTCAGGCAGGAAACCCTATACCATTTCGGACAAATGGCTATCCAGTCTCTTCATAAAAACCTCCAGTGTTGGAGCATTCACCGCTTCTGGAGGCAGGTTGTTCCACTGGTTAATTGTTCTAACTGTCAGGAAGTTTCCCCTTAGTTCTCGGTTGCTTCTCTCCCTAACACAACAACAGAATAACAGGGCTGGAAGAGACTTGGAGGTCTTCTAGTCCAACCCCCTGCTCAGGCAGGAAACCCTATACCATTTCAGACAAATGGCTGTCCAGTCCCTTCTTAAAAAGCTCCAGTGTTGGAGCATTCACCGCTTCTAGAGGCAGGTTGTTCCACTGGTTAATTGTTCTCACTGTCAGGAAGTTTCTCCTTAATTCTAGGTTGCTTCTCTCCTTGGTTAGTTCCCATCCGTTGCTTCCTGTCCTGCCTTCAGGGGCTTTGGAAAATAGCTTGACTCCCTCTTCTTTGGGGCAGCCCCTGAGATACTGGAACACTGCTATCATGTCCCCCCTCCTCCTTCTCTTCATTAAACGAGACATACCCAATTCCAGCAACCGTTCCTTATATGTTTTAGCCTCCAGTCCCCTGATCATCTTTGCTGCTCTTCTCTGTAAGTTGGTGCAAATGTCCCCCCCCCCCCTCTTTATTCTCCTTCCCTCTACTCTGCTGCAAACTCAGGGCTGTGGAGAGCACAGGCAGTCCTCGGCTTAGACAGTTCATGTAGCGACCGTTTCAGGTTACAAAGGCACTGAAAAAAAGGGACTTATGTCCGTTGTCACACCGTTGCAACATTCCCCTGGTCATGCGATGAAAATGTGGACGCTTGGCAACTGACTCACATTTATGACGGTTGCCACGTCCTGGCGGGGGGGAATCACGTGATCCCCTTTTGCAACCTTCGGACGAGCGAAGTCAACGGGGGAAGCCAGATTCACTTAACAAGTGTAAGTGTGAAAACCGGTCATAAATCACTTTTTTTCAGTACCGTGGTCACATCCAACGGTCACTAAATGAATGCTTGTAAGTCAAAGGCTACCTGTAATGGAATTGTACTTTATTATCAAGCTGCATTAACCGAATCTTGCCAGTTTCAAAGTACAATTCTCTCGCCATCCCCTTAATAACAACAACAACAACAATAATAATAATAAAGTGGGAAGGGACCTTGGAGGTCATCTAGTCCAACCCCCTGCTCAGGCAGGAAACCCTAAACCATTTCGACAAATGGCTGTCCAGTCTCTTCTTAAAAACTTCCAGTGTTGGAGCATTCACCGCTTCTGGAGGCAGGTTGTTCCACTGGTTAATTGTTCTAACTATCAGGACGTTTCTCCTTAGTTCCAGGTTGCTTCTTTCCTTGATTAGTTTCCATCTGTTCCATCCACCATTTGAAACTCAGCAACTTGGAGCAGGGGTCCACAATCCCAGGGTTGTGGCCCACGACCGGTCCTTCAGCCGTTCAGAACTGGGATGCGGAAGTAGCGGGGAAGCATGTGTGCACATATCCCCACATGCAAGAGCAGCTGTGGGCTAAGCTTCCTCTTATCTGCCCGTTTCACAGGTGGCGTGTCTTCTCCCTGTCTCCCAAGGTCATTCTCACATACCGTGAACATCCTCCAAGATCACATTTGACCCCACCCACTTTTCTCTTTTCAGGAACAAGGAGACAAGCCGGGATGAGTTCATTTTCTACTCCAAACGGCTAATGCGTCTTCTGATTGAGCACGCGCTATCTTTTCTGCCCTTCCAGGTAAGTGGCAGAGACAGAAGGAATGTGTAAGTTGGTTTGTAAGTTGGTTTAATGATGGAGACCTGACCTTCAATGGACACTGGGCCTTATCCAACAAAATGCAATTCAGTGATGAGAAAAGTTAAAGTTTTACCCTTAGGCAGAAAAAAAAAATCAAATACGTAAGTATAGAATAGGCCAGGGGCAGGCAACCTTGGCTCTTTTTTGACTCGTGGACTTCAATTCCCAAAATTCCTGAGCCAGCATGGCTCAGCTTGGAAACCTCTCCTTTTTCCCTCAGCGTGGCTGGCTCAGGAATTCTGGGAGTTGGAGTCCACGAGTCGTAAAAGAGCCAAATTTGAAGACCCCTGATTTAAATATTTAAATATTTTTCCTCACGGTCACGTGATCAAAATTCAGGCATTTGGGCAGGGCTAGGCAACCTTGGCTCTCTTATGACTCGTGGACTTCAACTCCCAGAATTCCTGAGCCAGCATGGGAGAACTATGGTCCCCTCATGACTCGTGGACTTCAACTCCCAGAATTCCTGAGCCAGCATGGCTCAGCTTGGAAACCTCTCCCTTTCCCCTCAGCGTGGCTGGCTCAGGGATTCTGGAAGTGGAAGTTCATGAGTCATAAAAGAGCCCAGGTTGCCTACCCCTGCCCAAATGCCTGAATTTTGATCACGTGACCGTGAGGGAAAAAATTTAAATATTTAAACCAGGGGTCTTCAACCTTGGCTCTTTTATGACTCGTGGACTTCAACTCCCAGAATTCCTGAGGCAGCCATGCTGAGGGGAAAGGGAGAGGTTTCCAAGCTGAGCCATGTTGGTTTAGGAATTCTGGGAGTTGAAGTCCATGAGTCATAAAAGAGCCAAGGTTGCCTACCCCTGGAATAGGTGGTACCTGGCTCAAGAACAGCAACTGGGAAAGGGATCTGGGAGTCCTAGTGGACGATCCCTTAAACAGGAGCCAGCCGTGTGCGGCAGCTGCCAAAAAAGCCAACACAGTGTTAGGCTGCATCAACCGAGGAATAGAATCAAGATCACGTGAAGTGTTAATACTGCTTTACAATGCCTTGGTAAGGCCACACTTGGAATACTGCACCCAGTTTTGGTCGCCACAATACCAAAATGATGCTGAGATTCTAGAAAGAGTAAAGAGAGGTATAACAATGATGATTAGGAGACTGGAGGCTAAATCACATGATGAGAAGTTGCGGGAACTGATGTATTGAGTCTAACAAATAGAAGAACTGGCATGACATGTTAGCAGTCTTCCAATATTTGAGGGGTTATACAGAGAAGCCCCTGAAGGCAGGACAAGGTGTAGTGGATGGAAACGAATCAAGAAGAAAACCAACCTAGAACTAAGGACAAATTTCCTGACAGTGAAGACATTTGACCAGTGGAACAGCTTGCCACCAGAAGTTGTGGGTGCTCCATCACTGTAGCTTTTAAAGAAGAGATTGGACAGCCATTTGTCCAGACAGGTATAGGGTCTGCTGCTCGAGTAGGGGGTTGGACTAGAAGACCTCCAATGTCCCTTCCAACTCTGTTGGAATACAATTCTGTATTCTTTTGTCTGCCCATAAAAGTGCAAAATGTGTTGGTTTTGCTGCAATAGTCAGCCTAAAACAGGATCACCGATGCAACCCTTAATAGGGTTTTATCCAAATCAGAGTTTGCATGCAATGGTGGTTAAGTGGACCCATTGTCCACAATGATGTTTTTTTTTTTTTTTTTTGCCGGAAACGAAGTACTATGACGGAACGGTTGCTGGAGTTGGGAATGTCTAGTTTAATGAAGAGAAGGACGAGGGGGGGGGGACATGATAGCAGTCTTCCAGTATCTCAGGGGCTGCCCCAAAGAAGAGGGAGTCAAGCTATTCTCCAAAGCGCCTGAAGGCAGGACAAGAAGCAACGGGTGGAAACTAACCAAGGAGAGAAGCAACCTAGAACTAAGGAGGAATTTTCTCACAGTGGGAACAATGAACCAGTGGAACAACCTGCCTCCAGAAGCAGTGAATGCTCCAACACTGGAAATTTTTAAGAAGAGACTGGACAGCCATTTGTCTGAAATGGTATAGGGTTTCCTGCCTGAGCAGGGGGTTGGACTAGATGACTTCCAAGGTCCCTTCCAACTTTATTATTATGGATGATGATGATGATGATGATGATGATGATGATGATGATGATGATGATGATTATCTAGTATCTGGCAAAAAAAACCCCACCCTCTCAAATCATGGTCACATTCCCATGAGACGCTGGAAATAGTTGCAAAAAAGTGGGCCTGTTGCCAAGGACCCAAAATGCCCACAGGTGGCAAGAGTGTGTGTGTGGCTGTTGGAACTTTGACTCCTGCTTGTCAAGGATCTTTTTTGGCACCTGTCATAATTTGTCACGAGGACCACCTGTATCTATTATTTAATTTATTTATGCCATTCTCCTTTTGTTTCCAGAGCTGCACAGTTCAAACACCACAAGACCAGGACTACGAAGGTTGTACATATAGCGGGAAGCAAGTAAGTCGAACCAGCAAGAGATCTTGGAAAGGAAAATTGTGTGGCCGTTCGTCAGCCCGCATTTTTGTGGATTGTTGGCCTGTTGCATTTAGGTTAAACATCTTATTATTATTATTTTATTATTTTTAACCAACACAACAAAGCAAAACATAACACACATACACACACAGTATATATTCCTCTCCCTTTTTTTTAACAGCGATTACGTAACGGTAATCTTCTATTATTTACATTTCCCCCCTTATTCTTCTTTAGAATATTTGTCCTTATTGCCTCCTTGTTCCTTATTTACATTTTTCTTCCTTCATATTCTACTTCTTACTAAGAATAATTCATATTATTATTATTATACATTATTATACACATATTTTCACTTTTGACCTTTCCATATTTATTCTCCTCTATTATTTCTAGTCTCCAACCAGTCATACCACTTGCTCCATAAACATCTTATTTTTTGTAAGGCTGTTTTAATCACGAGTGCCTTGGGCAGTTTCGAAAATTCTTAGAGCAGCGTCAGCAAGAATTCAGAGCAGAAAATGGAAGCAGAAAGATATAGAGCCACCCAAAAGGGCAGGAAATGTAATGAAGATGCCCCTCTACCCCATTCAGGGATCTGATAACATCAGTACCCTCTTCTTTTTGGCTGTCTGTGGCTAAAAAGAGAGAGAGGGAGAAAGAGATTTGAAAACAGTTTAAGTATTTTTCTAACAGTGTAGAACCTCTGAATTCACTTGGATTAGAATCTAGGCTAATTTAGTTTGGTATGTTTTAATGTTGGTCTTTCGATGTTACCCAGAGTCCATTGTATTGTGAGATGGATGGAAGATGGAAGGAAGGGAGGGAGGAAGAAAACAAAGGAGAGAAGGGAGGGAGGAAGGAGAAGGAAAGAAGGAAGAGGGAGGGAGGGGAGGGAGGGAGGAAGGGAAGACAGAAGGGAGGGAGGAAGAGAGGGAGAAAAGAAAGGGAGGGAGAAGGAAAGAAGGAAGATGAGAAGAGGGAGGAAAGGAAGGGAGGGAGGGAGAAAAGAGGAGAGGGAAGGGAGGGAGAAAGGAAGGAAGGAAGGAGAAGGAAAAAAAGAAGATGAGAAGAAAGGAAAGGAAAGGAAGGGAGGGAGGAAGGGAAGGGGAGACAGGAGGGAGAAAAGAAAGAGGAAGGAAGGAAGGAGGGAGAAGGAAAGAAGGAAGAGGGAGGAAAGGAAGGAAGGGGAGAAAAGAAAAGAGAGAGGAAGGAAGGGAGGGAGAAAGGAAGGAGAAGGAAAGACGGAAGATGAGAAAAGGGAGAGAGGAAGGGAGGGAGGGAGGAGAAAGGAAGGAAATGGAGGAGGGAGGGAAAAAAGAAAGGAGAGAGGAAAGGGAGGGAGAAAGGAAGGAAGGAGAAGGAAAGAAGGAAGATGAGAAGAGGGAGGAAGGAAAGGACGAGAGGGAGGGAGGAAGGAAAGAAGGAGAAGAAAGCAATGAGGTACAGATGTTCTGTTCTGTTCTGTTCATAAAAGTGACCCTTTCTGGTTTCCTAGAGCAGACGATTGTCTGCCTAGAGGTGACAAATCAACGTCTGAGCTTCTGTCTAACCCAGAGAAGGCGGAAACCATGGTTGCATGACATGCCGGCAGAATCGCACCTTCTCTCTTCCAGATCACGGGCGTGTCCATTTTGAGGGCTGGAGAGACCATGGAGCCAGCCCTGAGAGCCGTTTGCAAGGATGTCCGGATCGGCACCATCCTGATTCAGACAAACCGATACACGGGAGAGCCTGAGGTAAAGGGCCAAAAGCCCCATGAATGATCCGGGACCTCTTAGCAATGTTGTCCGCGATTGGTTGATTGGTTAGCACTCATCTTTCCTCCAGAAACCCTGTCCCTGAGCCTCAGCATCTTTGAGGGGTGTGGACTTCAACTCCCAGAATTCCCCAGTCAGCCACGCTGGATCTGTTTAATGTTGGTTTGTCTGACAGAAATTAGTGGATTCTAGTTTGGTCTGTTTCCCCCCCCCCCAATTTCATGCTATTTTTAATATTCGAATATTATATTCGAATATTAATTTATTCTAAATTGTTAAATATTAATATTCTACTCTTATATTAACATTCTAATATGCTATTCATGAGCTATTTTTAAAACAGTTAACTTTTTTTTCCCAATATATTATTTTTAAAAAGTTTTAATAACAATTATACATGTTGTTTTCTGCTTGGTGGTTTGTCTGGTGTTAACCTCTGCTTATCTGGATGTAGGTTATATGTGTGTGCATACACATATGTGTATATGAAATGAAAAGTCCAGAACACACCCTCTCCAGCAGCCTACACCCAGATAAGCAGGGATTGACTCCAGACAAACAACTGAGCAGAAACTATATCTTAATCAAGGAATTCCCAAGGAGAAAATTATCCCCTGGCAGAGCAAGCTACTGTTTATAAACAGGGAGCAAACCCCACTGATGATGTTACATAGTTTGTGTAATAAAAAGCAAAACAACAACAACAACTGAGCTGTTTGTCCTTTGTTTTGAAGTAATATTGTTGCGTTGTTGTACACAGATCTTGATGGCGCTTTGAAAGCTGCTTTGGAAGGAATTTTACCACAAAAAGCATGATAGAAATCCTTGCAAGGAATACAATATGCAGGCAGTCCTCGACTTACGACCGCAATTGAGACCAAAATTTCTTGTTGTTCAGTGAGACATTTATTAAGTGAGTTCTGCCCCATTTTACGACTTTTCTCGCCACGTTTGTTAAGCGAACCGCTGCAGTTGTTGAATTAGGAACACGGTTGTGAAGTGAATCCGGCTTCCCCCTCATTGACTTTGCTTGTCAGAAGGTCGCAAAAGGGGATCACGTGACCCTGGGGGACGCTGCAACCGTCATAAATGTGAGTCAGTTGCCAAGCATCTGACTTTTGATCATGGGACAATGGGGATGCTGCAACGGTCATTAAGAGTGAAAAACGGTCGTAAGTCACTTTTTTCAGTGCCGTTTTAATTTTGAAGGTCACTAAACGGACTGTTGTAAGTCGAGGGCTATCTGCACATAAATAAATACATAAGTAAATCTCTCAGGCGCTCCTTACTTGCTCCCTGACGTCTGTGTCTCTTCCCTTCCAGCTACACTACCTGAGACTCCCAAAGGACATCAGTGAAGATCACGTGATTTTGATGGACTGCACCGTCTCCACGGGGGCAGCAGCCATGATGGCCGTGAGAGTGCTGCTGGTAAGGGGAATGAGGATCCGGGTAGTCCTCGACTTACAACGGGGCTGGTTAGCAATTATTAGGAGTTGCAACAGACCTACAGTATCTTGCGGCTACCTATCACTTGGATTCAAAGTTACAATGTTTTTGCCCACCCTTATCCCCGGCACTTGCTCCGGTGACTGAACTTCGGGTGAGCCTCAGTTCTCTCATCTGCAGGATGGGCATAATAATAATTCTGGCTTTTTAAAGGATTTTTCAGAATGACCTGCCAACTAATATGTGAATGGAGGAATGTCATTCTAAATCATTTGAATGTGTGCCACTGAAGTTTATTTTTATTTTATTTTATTTTATTATTTTATTGATTTATTTTATGTTATTGATTTGATTTGATTTAATTTATTTGTATTTTATTGATTTGATTTGATTTATTTTATTGATTTGATTTGATTTATTTTATTGATTTGATTTGATTTATTTTATTGATTTGATTTGATTTGATATATTTTATTATTTTATTTATTTATTTTATTATTTTATTTTATTTATTTTTATTGATTTGACTTGTTTTGTTTTGTTTTATTATTTATTTAGAAAATTTATATTATCTATACGTAGTCCTCAACTTACAACCATTCATTTAGCGACCATTGAAAGTTACAGTGGCACTGAAAATAGTGACCTATGACCATTTTTCCACACTTAACGACCGTCGCACCATACCCATGGTCACAGGATCAAAATTTGGACACTTGATAACCGGCATGTATTTACGACGGTTGCAGTGTCTCGGGGTAAATGTGATCACCATTTTGTGACCTTTCCAGGTGGCTTCCAACAAAGGGGAGGGATCCAGATTCACTTAACGACCGTGTGATTCACTTAACAACTGCAGTAATTTGCTTAAACGGTGGCAAAAAAAGGTCGTAAAATGGGGCAAACTGACTTAAGTGGCTTGCTTAGCAGCAGAAATTTGGGGCTCAGTTGTGATCTATGAGTAAACCAGAAAGTAAAGCTATGGTTGAAAGAGAGACTGAAATCCTTTTGTTTCCGTTAGGATCACGACGTTCCAGAGGATAAGATTTTTCTTCTCTCCTTGTTGATGGCAGAGATGGGCGTCCACTCCGTCGCCTATGCCTTTCCACAAGTCAGGATCATCACAACTGCTGTGGACAAGAAAGTGAATGACCTTTTTCGCATCATCCCTGGTATTGGTGAGCGGTTCCATCTGGGATGTAAAATTGTTGTGACCATGAGACACAAATGGATGGGAGGATTTAGGGAAAAAGCTGGTTGGAATACTGGGAAATACAAGTAGTTCTCAACTTACAACAATTCTTTTAGTGACCGTTTGACTGAAAAAAAGTGGTTTATGACTGTTTTTCACACTTACCATTGTCTATGGAGATTCTCAGTCATCCAGATCATAGTTATCCCGAAGATGCTTTTTCACAAGGCAACTGAACTTTCTTGTTTATATTTGAAGATGTTTCACTTCTCATTGAAGAAGCTGAAGAGCTGAAGAAACTTCTTGGATGATAAGCAAAATGTCTTCAAAGAAAAACAAGCAAGTCCAGTTGCCTCGTGAAAAAGCATCTTTGGGCACACTTACAACTGTTACAGCATCCCCATGGTCACGTGATCAAAATTTAGACTCTTAGCAACTGACGTGTTTTTATGACAGCTGCATAAAAACATCCTGGAGTCACGTGATCCCCTTTTCTGACCTCTTACACAAGTCAATGTGTAGGGCATGGAATATTATCTTGATTATTCAACAATCATGGGGACTTCTTGGGGAGGTATGGCATATTGAAGAGGGCTTGGTGATAGTGGAACCAACGATTGTGCAAAGACCAAGGAACTGGTAAGTAGACCAGTTCCTTAGAACCTCTCTGGATAAGGAGAAGATGGGAGATTGCCTACATGTGCTCCGGATAGCTGCTTCTCACAAGAAGACTACAGGACAGTATTTTTTCCTCCAGTTTGAAGGCTGGGAGGTCGCGTCATGTGACTGCACTGCTTAGCAATAGCACTTCTTGGTGGCCAACATTAAGGGTATCACTCTAGGTCACGGGTGTCAAACTTCTGGCCCGCAGGCCGGATGCATCATGCCTAAACTGCGCCCATCCCATTGCCTGCAATGGAAAAAAAGTTGCGATACGTCGCGACACGTCACGTGACATTGCGAGTTTGACACCCCTGCTCTAGGTCATTAAGTGAGGACCTCACATGAGCATAATTTGCAAAATCCTGCCATTTTCCTTGTTGACTCTCAAATTCACCAAGCAGGTTAAATGTGTTGTGGGAACGCAGTTTATGGGCGTTGTGGAATCCTACTCCATAAATGTGAACCTCATTGTTTCTCCTGCTGCTTTCTAGGAAATTTTGGGGACCGTTACTTTGGCACGGACGCCCCGCCAAATTGGAGTGACGAGGAAGACATCCTGGACTCTTGACCATTGTAAAGAAACCGCTCTGAAGCAATGGCGAATTCTGCATCCACTCCTTAATCCATCCCTTGTGCACTCCGCCGTAAATCTCCAAACGCTTAGAAAAAGAGAATATTTCGCAAAGCAGCTATTATATTTTCTTCTGCTTCGTTTTGCACCAGAAGCTGAAGGAGTATTTTTTTAAGAAGGAGGGTGGGGCTGGCAGGGGAAGAGTGTGGCTCCTGGCTGTTTTTTTTTTTTTTTAAGTATGCACGAATGTCTTTGAGTCCAGAAGCAGTTTATTTTAATTTTTAAAAAAATTAATATAACTTATTTTATTAAAAAAAAAAAAACACTTCCTTGGCAAAGCTGTGAGGATTTCACTCCGGTGTCTGTCATTCCTTTCATGGTTCCGACAGATGAAACTCTTTAAAAGAACTTCGAGGCATTGTTTACCTTAAAGCAGTGGTTCTCAACCTGTGGGTCGGGACCCCATTTGGGGTCGAACGACCATTTCATGGGGGTCGCCAAACCACGCTGTCTGCCATTTTTTTCCCTTTTCCCTAGCTGTCCTACTCCCTCTTATTGGTGGCCACACCCACTTGGGGGTCACCACAACATGGGGAACTGTATTATGGGGTCACGGCATTAGAAAGGTTGAGAACCACTGCCTTAAAGAATCTTTATTCGAGTAGCATAGCATCTGCACGTACATAGTCAAAGCCAATATCTGAATTCCCCTCCCTTGAGCACATAGTATCAAAGCACAATTCCCTCCTCTAGTTAACAGTCATAAATCACATTCCCCAATTAGTTTGAACTGCAGGCTTTCCCTCCAGTTCTCCAGCCCGGCCATTCCTTGTCATCTCTTATTTCAAAAAACCTTGGTTCTCACCTAGTTACAATAGTATTATGTTTAACTAAACTCCCATGCACATTCTTTCTCTTCCCCCACCCCCCCAGTATCATCTAATTCTAACTCTAATTCTAAGAGTAAAACATAAGAAGGAAAAGGGCTGCATCTCCCTATGTGGTCAAAGCAAGAACATCCAATGTTAGCAGCGTTGACAATTCCTTACCCAGAATTGCAAAGCCAGGAAGGTCAAGATTTGGTTTGGTGAGCAAATAGATAGTCCTCAATTTACAGCTATTCATTTAGTGACCGGTTGAAGTTACAAAGGCACGGAAAAAGGCAACTTAAAATGGTGACTCACACTGATGACCGTTGCAGCGTCCCCCCTGGTCACATGATCACTTGGCAATTGGTTCATATTTACAGCGGTTGCAGTGTCCCGGGATCATGTGATCCCCTTTTGCAACCTTCTGACAAGCAAAGTCAATGGGGGGGAAGCCAGATTCACTTAACAACGGTGTTACTATCTTAACAAGTACAGTGATTCAGTTAACAACTGTCTTGCTTAGCAGCAGAAATTTAGGACTCAGTTGTGGATTGTACGTCAAGGACTGCCTATATTTTCCGCTGGCTAAAAAGAATGAAAGACCTGTTTGTTTGTTTCTTTGTGGGGGGGGGGGGGTTGGAAATATTTATTTATTTACTTTTACGGTTTCCCCCCTGCACGGATCGTTTTTTTTTTCCAGTTTTTTATTTCAACACTTGGCAGCGTCTTAGTGCAGACGGCGCACTGACCAGGACCGCCACGAAGGGAGGGGTTGAGGGTGGAGTGGAAGATTTGACACGATACACTTAACTTACACACAGTCTGCTTGTGGAAAGTGGTTGCACGAGATGGCTTTTCTACTAGATCTGAAAAAAAAAAACCAACAACATCTGCTAGGCAAGGCTACCGTTTCCTGAACTGCTAAATCAGAAATGGGCAGGGGGCCAACCTTGGCAACTTTAAGGCTTGTGGACTTCAACTCCCAGAGTTCTCCAGCAAGCATGTCCGGCTCAGGAATTGTGAGAGTTGAGGTTCACAGGTCATAAAGGGGCCATAGCTGCCCACAGCCATTTGTCCAGGTTGGTATAGGGCAGGGGTCTTCAAACTTGGTCCTTTTATGACTTGTGGACTTCAACTCCCAGAATTCCTCATTCCTGGCTGTCATAAAAGGGCCAAGTTTGAAGACCCCTGATATATAGGGCATCCTATACCATCTGGACAAATGGTTGTACAATCTCTTCTTTAAAATTTTCAGTGTTGGAACATCCACAGCTTCTGGAGGCAGGTTGTTCCACTGGTTAGTTGTTCTCACTGTCAGGAAATTTCTCCACAGTTTCAGGTTGCTTTTCTCCTTGATGAGTTTCCATCCGTTGCTTCTCGTCCTGCCTTCAGGGGCTTTGGAGAGTAGCTTGACCCTCTTTTCCTTGGGGCAGCTCCTCATAAATTGGAACACTGCTATGGATTCTCCTTCATCTTAGTTTGTTAGCCATTTGCCTATCTTTTTCTGAGGTAGGTTGAAAGACTAGGTGAACAGATGCGTTGTGCTTGATTCTCTAGGGCAGGGGTTCTCCAAATTTGGCAACTTTTAAGACTGGACTTCAATTCCCAGAATTCCCCAGCCAACATGTCTGACTCAGGGTTTTTGGGAGTTGAAGTTCACAGATCATAAAGTTGCCCACCCTTGTCCTATACCTGGGGTCTTCAAACTTGGCCCTTCGATGACTTGTGGACTTCAACTCTCAGAATTCCTGATCCAGCATGGCTCAGCTTGGAAACCTCTCCCTTTTCCCTCAGCATGGCTGGCTCAGGAATTCTGGGAGTTGAAGACCACAAGTCATAAAAGGGCCAAGTTTGAAGACCCCTGTCTTATCCCATCAGGGACAAATGGCTGCCCAATCTCTTCTTAAAAACCTTCCATGCTGGAACACCCACAACTTCTGAAGGCTAGTCATTCACTGTCAGGAAATTTCTCCTTAGTTCTAGGTCAGGGATAGGCAACCTTGGCTCTTTTATGACTCGTGGACTTCAACTCCCAGAATTCCTGAGCCAGCATGAGGGAACTATGTCCCCCTCATGACTCGTGGACTTCAACTCCCAGAATTCCTGAGCCAGCATGGCTCAGCTTGGAAACCTCTCCCTTTTCCCTCAGCATGGCTGGCTCAGGAATTCTGGGAGTTGAAGTCCACGAGTCATAAAAGAGCCAAGGTTGCCTACCTCTGTTCTAGGTTGTTTCTCTCTTGGTTAACTTTCCATCTCTGCCCACATTGGGGGTCATCAGAGCCGGGGAAAGAAGGAAAAATAATTTAGCTCCAGCCTTTTTTCTTTAATCTGCATCATATAACCACGCCCAAAAGTAAATTCAGGGGCTAAATTTTGCATGTGCCTGCTTTCCGACATTTCAGGATGCTCGGTGTCGACAGCTGCAATGGAAAAAGTGTGTGGGTGGCTGCCGGCCATAGCAGTGAACGACGCCCTGTTCGAATCTCACCTTGCCCTTCCTCTTAGCAGTGACCAGAAAAACCAGTCGCCCGGAGAATTTAAGCAAACCCCAAGATATCAATCTCACCTCTGCTCACTTTGAGATCTGAAAGAGAAAGAGAGATGAAAGCCACCGATCAGCTGAAGCTTTTGAAAACCAAGCCTGCAGAATGGAAAAATCACCTCGAAAGAGAGTTGACATGGGCGGAGGGCGGCTTGGGCGGAAACGCGGTTCGCTCTTAAGCAAAAGGAGGGTTATTCAGACAATCTTAAGCACAGCAGAAAAGGGGGACAGCTGAAATTCTGGGGCGTTCTGAGAGTTGAAGTCCACTATGCTAGCTGGGGGATTCTGGGAAATTGAAGTCCACTATGCTAGCTGGGGATTCTGGGATTTGAAATCCACTATGCTAGCTGGGGGATTCTGGGATTTGACGTCCACTATGCTAGCTGGGGGATTCTGGGAAATTGAAGTCCACTATGCTAGATGGAGGATTCTGGGAAATCGAAGTCCACTATGCTAGATGTGGGATTCTGGGAAACTGGTCCTCTATGCTAGCTGGGGGATTCTGGGAAATTGAAGTCCACTATGCTAGCTGGGGATTCTGGGATTTGAAGTCCACTATGCTAGCTGGGGGATTCTGGGATTTGAAGTCCACTATGCTAACTGGCGGATTCTGGGATTTGAAGTCCATATGCTAGCTTGAGGATTCTGGGATTTGAAGTCCACTATGCTAGATGGGGATTCTGGGAAATTGAAGTCCACTATGCTAGCTGGGGGATTCTGGGAGTTGAAATCCACACATCTTAAAATTATCAAGGATGAATGTTGTAGAGTGCTCAAACCACTGAACATTTTGGCTTAACAGGACGGACCACCTGACACAAGAAGCTGAATCACAAAATCCCATTTTCTTTTTTTTTTTGCTTTCGGTGTGACTCAATATTGACCCCTGAGTTTCACAGCTCAGTGAGTAAATGAATGTGGGTTTCCACTGCTATCCCACACTCACCAACCCCTGCCCCCACCCCTTGGCCCCTTTGGAAGGAGTTTGTGCATGTTTCTCCTCCATTTTCTTTCCTGTGCCATATTTTGCCATAGACAGACACACAGATGATAGACAGACAGACAGACAGACAGACAGACAGATAGATAGATAGATAGATAGATGATAGATAAATTGATAGATGATAGATGATAGATATAATGATAGATGATAGATATAGATAATAGATAGATAATAGATATAGATGATAGATAGATAATAGATATAGATGATAGATAAATAGATAGATAATAGATGATAGATATAGATGATAGATATAGATAATAGATAGATATAGATGATAGATAGATAAATATAGATTATAGATAGATATAGATGATAGATATAGATTATAGATAGATAATAGATGATAGATATGATAGATAGATAGATAGATAGATAGATAGATAGATAGATAGATAGATAGATAGATATAGATAATAGGCAAATGGTGGATAGATAGGGATAGATGATAGATAGATGATAGATGATAGATGTGTGTGTGTGAGAGAGATAGAAAATTGGCAAATGATAGATGGATAGAGATAGATGATAGATAGATGATAGAAAGAGATAGATAGATATAGATAATAGACAAACAGATGATATATGATGGATAGATAAAGATAGATGATAGACAGACACAGACAGACAGATAGGTAGATATAGATATAGATAATAGACAGATGATAGATAGATAGACAGATGATAGATAGATAGACAGACAGATAGATAGATAGATAGATAGATAGATAGATAGATAGATAGATAGATAGATAGATATGGAGGTTTCAGCAGTCCCAAGAAGGCTCCACACCCATCTGCACTATTCAGCTTATCCTGAGGGCACAGATAAACCTCCAAGTGGCCTCAACGACTCTCAGAAAGAGTACTAACAACCAGAGGATTGCAAAGAATATAAATCCTTCCGTTCCTCACCATTCCGTTAGAACTGAAGAAGCT